CAAGATCTCCGAGACAGAGGGATGCCCTTTAAACCTTTGAATCAAAAAGAATGAGATATACTTATTTTCTTACTGAAACAGGATTTCTAAAACTGTTTTTTAAGCAGAACGAACTAATCACTTTTCCACATGGAAAGAATTACAAAAGCTTCCTGTTTGTTGATAAGATGAAAATTAAAACTTATCGTTCTGTGTCGATAATTATGTTTTAAGTCGTGGTAATTCATATTTGTAAGTCTTAAGACCTTTATTTCAGGAAATTTCAATGTCTAAAAAGAAAAGTTCTGGAACCGGTTTTGTCTTCGATGATGACACATCAGATTCGGATGATGAAATCGACGCTTTCAGGTGACTTGAAAATTTTCTTAAAGTGTTGTTACTAAGAATACATTTTTTTCATTTTTCCTGCTCCAGTTAATTGTAATGCCGACTAAACATTTAATAAAAATATTTATTTATTCAAGATGTTCATGATAAAGATTTATATATATATACTGCATTTTGAATCAAATATAGATTTGAATAATAATAATAATAATAATTGTTTTTGTGTGTTCTACATTTGAGCCTATTCCCTCAATTTTGATATATTTTAACGTACAAAAAAGAATCATATATTCTTTAAATTTAAGGAAGAGAATAGGCATACAATTTTTGTTATACTTGGACAGAATGAGCAAAACTTTAATTTCAATTCTCATGTTACCTTTTTTGAATTCTTATATTTTCCATCAAGGCTGATTTCCATTCAGACCTTGATATTCTCCAATATCCAGTTCAACCAACCCTCTTCAAGGAACAAACTTAATTATAATAATAATCTTGAAAAATATTGACCAACTCCTTTTTTAAAATCGTTAGCTTTTCTGATTTTCACAATCATTTAAAACTTCCCTTTTTTGTAGAGTGTAGTCCTGAATTTCCCCTGTTCAACTAAGTTATTTATTTCTTTTTGTGATGATTTTAAACTTAGTGTAAGCCATTAATTAATTTTGATTCCTGGTAATATTACTGGCGACTTAAGATTAAAGACTTCAGTAAAGATCATTTGTAAATGTCAGTTCTTAGGATCCGTAACATTTTGGCTACCAGGATCCGGATCCCAGTTGTTAAATATCAGCCTAAAACATTTTGATCTCAAAACCCGAATCTGAATTGTTGAAAAAGAGAGATTATTAAAAAATGTTAATTTCTTGGTGGTTCATCAAGTTTTAGCCTAAACATAAGCGAAAAAAATGAAATCATTTGAAAATTCTTCTTTTGTTAAAAAAAGCATGACCTGGATCCGGATCCATTTATTTTATCAGGATCCGCATCAAAATGAAATAGATACTAAGCATCGGTAAATATTTACCCTGCAGTTGGATTAAATAATTAGTGAGAAAGGTATAGTTGGTTAAACTAGTATTCTAGTGCACTCTCAATCACACAGTCTAGAGCATTAGTTCAATTATCAACACTTGGTTTATCTAATTCTCATAAATGATTTGCTTCTACTGAATCTGAATAATAAAGAAATAAACCCCCACCGTTCAATATTTACTGTTTAGGTCAACAGTGAAAAAGATTTCTGGCAAAAATTCTCAAGTAAGTGACATACAAATAATGCACGAAACATAAGGTATCGTAGAAGTTTTAAAAATGGTTACATTTGTGACGTTAAAATCATTTGGAAAAAACTACTTGCACATTTGAATCATTCCGTCTAAAAATAACTCGCAATTTTCAAGGGGTTTATACTTTCTAAAGTAATCATGTTCAATGAAAATTATTGTGATTTTTTAGAAAATTTGTATGAAACCATTAAAGAACATTTATAAAATATTGTTTATTACGTAGATCTCTGAAGATCTAAATCCAGAAGATGATGAACTGGAAGAGTCGGACGAAGATGATGATTTTGAAGAATCCGATGATGAGGAAGGGAATGAAAAGTTGATAAAAGATGATTCTGTGATAAAATCTAAATTGACAACTCTGGGTTTAATGTTAAACAACATTAAAGCTCAGGAAAGTGATGAAGAGGAAGAAAGTGAAGAAGAAGATGATGATGATGATACCGATGCGAGTGATGGGGGAGAGGAGAATGGCGATAATAAAGCCGATACTGCACAAGATGAAAATGATGATAAAGAAGAACAAACTGATGATTCTGAAGATGTAGAAACAAATGATGAATCAGATGATGAATCAAAGAAGAATATTAAAATAAAAACCCAGAAATCCGTGAAAAGAGCCGCAGTAGATGATAAACGGAATACTAAGCGCGTGAAGGTTCTCACAGAAGAAGAAGAACGTGAAAAATACAGAAATAAATTGTCAAAACTCTCAGGTAATTTATGATAAAATTTACGAAAAATTAAAAATCTTTTTAAAAACAATTTAAAGTTTTAAACTGTTTTTCAGTTGAGGAAATCCTCTCAATACAGAATAGTTTGGGAAGTAAAGTGTTCAATGATCGTTGGGAGGGAGGAAAGAAAAAGACGAAAATAGATCAGGAACTAATAAATATTGAAAATATAAATTTTTATTTACTCCTGGGAGGGGTGGGGGGGGAACTATGTTTTGTTCTCTATTAGAATTATCTTTATTTATTGGAATTCGGAAGAAAAAATCTGAGTTTAAACGAGAGAATAAGAACAGACCCAGAGAAATTTCATCAAAGATTCGAGTTCCTAAGCTAGTAAAAGTTGTCCAGGTATGCCCGGTCTAGATGAGATAATAACTACGCTGGGATTTTAAATGCAAATCTTTATAACACCAAAGCGTCAGCAAACCTTTTTTTATGAAACAAATCATTGTTAATTTCAAAAAAATATAATTCTTTTAATCTGCAAAAATTATTAGAATCGTATATTTGTTTATTCAAAAATTGAATTAATGAATCCAGCAGAGAATTTTTAATGTTTGATAAGTTCTTCATACGTGGATTCGTAGAAATGGGCGAATTCAAGAACACGTTCTTAGCAAAATCGGAATTCAGTTAAATTCTCAAATATTTATTGAAATCCATTCATTCCAACCGAAGCGCTGACATTGAAATATTAGTCTTTTACTTCTGATAGTTTCTACAAAACTCATTGTTAGTCATCGATTTGGTTTAATGACAGAAGTAACATATTTAATTCTCGATAATTTGTTTTTAAATAATGTAGATTTAATACAAAAAGTCTGATGGTAACATGAATAGAGATAGACGCACAGATTTAGAATTTAATTTTTTTATTTAATTCTACTATCTAGGCGAGTAAGGAGGAAAAAAGAGATCCTAGGTTTGACCCTCTGTGTGGAGAATTCGATAAAGCCAGTTTTAGGTAAACTTAGTTATATTAATACTAATATTTATTTTGGTTAAATCAATCAAAAACGACTGTCGATAGTTAAACTATAATAGATTAGAACAATTCCTTCACCTTTCTTCATCCATTATTACTTATTCAATTTCAGGAAATCTTACCAGTTCTTAAATAAAGTTAAAGAAAATGAACTTAACATTTTGAAGACACAACTAAAGGTAATTTACATTTATTTATAAATTTTTATTTTTGCACAGCGCCATGTTTTTTACTGCATGAATCTTAGCATTTTTGGAAACAAATAGTTGTTAAGGTAAAGTGTCAATTTACACAGTTTTCTAAATGTTTTCAAAAACTCTCAAATTAGTTTTNGGGAATTTTTTGGATTAGTATACAGCCCTACATTTATAAAATGCTGGATGAGGGAGAGAGATTTTTTTATGCTTTCCTCTCCTATTTTTGGATTTACAAATACGTTTTAGATCAAATTTTTGGGGATTCTTTAGAGAATCAGTTTCTTATTTTTCTAATTGTAAAATCATTTTAAGAACGCTCAGGGAGAGGAGCGTAGTAAGCTCAAATACCTGATTCAACGAACTGAGAACCAACTTCGGTCGGAGAACCAACGAATCGTGAAGGAGACGGAGGAAGGAGTTGTCCGACAAGAACACAAGGCTGCTCTAACCAGAGGAGAAAAACCAGTTTTCAAATCAAAGAAAACTCAACGCGAAGAGGAGATTGTAAAATCTTACGAGGAGTTGAAGGAGAAGGGAAAATTAGATAATTTCATCAGGAAGAAGAATAAAAAGAATACGTCGAAGGATAGAAAAAATTTGGGGAAAGCTTACGACAAATCCTAGTTCAAGTTATATGCTATAAATATTTATTTCAGATGACAATGGGTAAAGCTGAGAAGTCGAAGAAAGCGCTTGTAAAAGAAGAGAAAGTGTCGGTTACTGATCCTGCTGTGTTAAAGAAAAAGGAAGAGAAGAAAGAGAATAAAAAGGCACATACCAAAGAAGAGAAATTGTCGGTTTCTGAACCTGCTGACCCAGCTTTGTTAAAGAAGATTAAGAAGAAAAAGAAGAAAAATGTTGCGGAAAACAAGGAAAACTCTTCCAGCACAGATTCCGTCGAGCCGGTCAAACCTCGGGTTCCGAAGGATTTGAATTTCGTAAAGAAGCCTAAAATTGGTGAGAAATTTTTTTATTATCTAAGGGGGAAAATTCTCCCCCCCCCCACCTCCTATCGTGATATTTAAAGATATTTTCCACTGTGTATTAGGTCTTCTCATATGCTCATATGCTGGGCGGTCTGGGGGGCCCACAATGGGGTCTCTTGCAGATTTCAATTCCTTATGATTCCTTATATCACTATTTAGATCAAATTCTTCAGATTTGAAGTGCTTGATGGTGGTTTGAATTCTAGATAAAACAGTGAAACTTGCTGCTTCAGCAACATTATATACAGGATGTTTTATTCCACAAGGACTACAAACCTTGGCTCTAAGACACAATTTACATGAAACCTGTCNCCGTACTTCCACAGGAGTCTGATGTTCTTCTAATTGTTAAAGATCTAGAGAGAGGAATCAAGGTATATTTAGGGAATAAGAATAAAAAGAAGGGAAATAGCACTGGTCTGGCATGAGAAAGCCAGTCGCACTGCTTTGTAGACGAGGTCGTTATTGCACACGCACAAGACACACAACATGACTACAGGAATTTGCAGAACAATGTCGTCTTCGCTGTTCTACTATATTATTTTGTTAAATCCAAAACAACACACAAAGCTTGTTTGATACTTCTTAGTTTTCTATTTTCTTTTCTGCGTTAAATTCTTAATATTCTTCAAATATTCTCTTTATATCTTCTTTATCATTCTCAAAAAATTCTCAATAATCACCAAAAATCTCATTGAATTCTTAATATTCAACACCCAAAGTATAAACAAAATTAATTACTTTTTCGTCGTTCAAAATTAAGCTCGAATCACGAATAGTTTATTATAAATTTAAATCAAATTTTATTCTTTCGCTTAAAGTATTGACTAAGATATATATGATATAAAATATATAAAAAATGCATGTATATTACACTTATTTTTTATTAAGCAATTAACAATACATAAATGTACACTTCTAGACTGTAAAAAGCACAAATTCCGAGATTCTTATGTACTGTACATACCTACAGTACACGCCTTCGGTTCGTTATTACTTACACACTCTTTTGGTACAGACATGACGTTTCCGCCTCCTGGGTATATTTCATAACTTATTTTATATCATGTCAAAATATAGGAGAATATATTTTCAAGAATATTACCCTTTCCCCCATTTATAATAAGATTTATATATTAAAGAATTAGACTTGAATGTTAAGTCCGACCATGAACCAACCATACTCCGTCTTTATATCTCTGTTTACAGTTTAGTCCGACCATGAACTTGCCCTACTCCGTCTTTATATCTCTGTTTACTGTTTAGTCCGAACATGAACCAACCCTATTAGGCTGAAGAGCGCTAAACAAATACATATTTTTTAATGTAAAAATATTCGCAATTCAACCATATTATTCTAAAATACAATAAATCGGTTAAATTTGGTATAGTAAAAAACCACATTTAAAAAATTAATTGACTACCTTTAAAAAACTTTTTTTCAAATGGAGTACCGTCTGCCAAGCATGTATTGTATATTGTATAATCATATGGTAGAGCGGGTCGGGTCAATTCCTTCTCCCTTATATTCCATACTCCTAGAAATAAATGTTCATTAATAAATTGGCATTGGCAAAATGTCGTTAATTTAAATCGTTTCAAGTCCCATTCACAACGATACCCTTTGGCCCCTAATCTGATAAATCGAAATGAATATATCGTTCTTTATCTAAACATTGTATGCGTTCTTTCAATCTCCTTCGTCAAGTCTGTTGCTTAAATCTCCTAGTCGTTTAAACAGACAAACGCAAATTTATTCGAAGCGATAAAAAAAAGGGCACTGTTAAGAATTTTATACACCGTCAACAGTCCCTTTAATAATTAAATTTCAGGTTATGCCTATGCGACAGCTGAGAGTTGAATATAAAGAATTTGAAGCTAAAAATCAATTATTCAACAGGTATGGTTTTTATTTATCTCTTTTCCTTTTACAGAAAGCAGCTGCTTGGGCCTAAAAAATCAGCATTTATAATGACAAAATGCTTGAATGCCTTTTTCGTATTAAGTATTTTGATTAAAAGTATTAAGGTACACAAAAACTACCGACATTTTGGAACTAACTCTCATAAAATGATTTACTTATTTATAATTATGTATAAAACAAGAGCTTATAATTTTTATAATATATATATAGGCACAAATGATTCAAATATCCAAATATAAATTTAAAAATCATATTTTCATTTCTTAAAATATATATTTATCCAGGGTTGACAAGGTGCTGGTCGATGATAGAATTATTCGTCTAATTCCACAATTCCTCGGCGGCATTTTCTATAAGAAGAAAAAGTTCCCTGTCCCTGTTAAACTTACCAAGAAGAATCTTCAGGACGAGGTATTCTATTTTAAATGTGACGTTCTTAGGATCCTATCAATGTGACGTGCTTAGGATCCTATCAATGTGACGTGCTTAGGATCCTATCAATGTGACGTGCTTAGGATCTTATGAATGTGACGTGCTTAGTATCCTATGAATGTGAAGTGCTTAGGATCCTATCAATGTGAAGTGTTTAGGATCCTATGAATGTGAAGTGCTTAGGATCCTATCAATGTGAAGTGCTTAGGATCCTATCAATGTGAAGGGCTTAGGATCCTATCAATGTGAAGTGCTTAGGATCCTATGAATGTCAAGTGCTTAGGATCTCATGAATGTAAAGTGCTTAGGATCCTATGAATGTGAAGGGCTTAGGATTCTATCAATGTGAAGTGCTTAGGATCCTATGAATGTCAAGTGCTTAGGATCTCATGAATGTAAAGTTCTTAGGATCTCATTAATGTAAAGTGCTTAGGATCTCATTAATGTAAAGTGCTTAGGATCCTATGAATGTAAAGTGCTTGGATTATATCAATGTGACGTTCTTAGGATCTCATGAATGTGAACTTGTGAAGCGCTTAGCATCCTATGAATGAAAACTTGTGAAGTGCTTAGGATCCTATTAATGTGACGTGCTTAGGATGCTATGAATGTGACGTGCATAGGACGCTATGAATGTAAAGTGCTTAGGATCTCATTAATGTAAAGTGCTTAGGATCCTATGAATGTAAAGTGTTTAGGATTCTATCAATGTGACGTGCTTAGGATCTCATGAATGTGAACTTGTGAAGTACTTAGGATCCTATAAATGTGACGTGCTTAGGATGCTATGAATGTGACGTGCTTAGGATCCTATAAATGTGACGTGCTTAGGATGCTATGAATGTGACGTGCTTAGAATCCTGTGAATGTCAAGTGCTTAGGCTCCTATGAATGTGACGTGCTTAGGACGCTATGAATGTGACGTGCTTAGAATCCTGTGAATGTCAAGTGCTTAGGCTCCTATGAATGTGACGTGCTTAGGATCACATGAATGTGATCTTGTGAAGTGCTTAGGAACCTATTAATGTGACGTGCTTAGGATCCTATGAATGTGACGTGCTTAGAATCCTGTGAATGTCAAGTGCTTAGGCTCCTATGAATGTGACGTGCTTAGGATGCTATGAATGTGACGTGCTTAGGATGCTATGAATGTGACGTGCTTAGGATACTATGAATGTGACGTGCTTAGGATCTCATGAATGTGAAGTGCTTAGGATCCTATGAATGTAAACTTTTTTTTCGGTATTTTTTAAGGAACCTTTTTTAAAATATGTAAAGATGACCCCTTTCCTTAATAGTCATCACATACTTTTTTGTCACGTGTTCTCAATATGTGTCGTCGACCTTATTATAAATTGCTTAATCTTATGGTGGGCAAAATATTTTAAACGTTTAGAAAGAAGGTTTACAAGTTTCTGTTTAATATTTTTACACGCTTTAGATATCACAATGAAAGGGTTTTTATTTCTTTGCAAAAATCATCTGACCAAAACTTGATTATTTGAATAAGTGTGTGTGATTATTTTTATTAAAATTAATATGAAATTTATATGTTTGATAAAGATTTCCAGATCTGGAACTCTAGTATTGTTGATATCGAGTAATATGCTTGATCTTAATCTATTGATAATGCGCAGGTTGATTTAATCCTTAGTCGCACCTGAAGGGATAACTCAAATGAGGAGATTATTGTCAATCCTCAGATTAATACTGCCCAGTGTCGATATCGAGATCAAGTGATCGGGATCATGGGTATCCTCCCAAGACAAAGTTTCCAATCTCTTTTTGTGTTTAGATAAACCGGTGTATCAATACAGTCGTCATGCCACTAAATAATCATGGTTCCTGTGCCACCTGCCCTGTAGGTAAGAAAACTGGATAAAATTACACTCAAGACAATGTCACGATTTGAACGATCGGGGATAATATTACAGGGGTGTATATTTTCTCGTAAAATTATTCCCCCCACTCCAGAAGTTAAATAATATATATGCTTGGGCGGAGCGTAATTTTTATTTAGGGTTTTATTTGCAGAATTGGGTAAAATGAATGAAAATCAGGAGAAAATAAATCAGTTTTTTGGATATAAAGTATCAAAAAGTATGAAAAACTTGCCTTTTGATATACATTTTTTCATTTTTTTTGCATTCATAACTAAATATCTTTTGAACGTGAACATAAAGTCAACTTATTTTTCAATGAAGCAATACTAGAAAAATGTTAAAAGAAAAACATTATTCCGCCTTAAAAGTCGTCTTCCCTTCAAAAATAATTTTTTAACTTCTATCTCTCGTAGAAAAAATGTAGAAACTGTGTATTTTCACTTATGTACGATCTACATGTTTCGAGAGACATAAAAATGCATTTTAAATCTTTTTTTTGTTATTTTTTATCCAAATACTAGTTTCCCCGACTCCTTGAAATATTTTTTTTTCCATTTCCGTGAACAAAACTTTTACAAACACGTAATTTGATATTTAAGATAACATTTAATTAACTGGCGTGTGGACACTAAAAGCGGTTATATTATCTCTGTTATATTATCTCTATTATATTATCTCTGTTATATTATCTCTGTTATATTATCTCTGTTATATTATCTCTGTTATATTATCTCTGTTATATTATCTCTGTTAGGTTCCAAAAGTTGCAAATTAAATTTACGTTTCTTAAATCTGTGAACACTCCCTTAATTGAGATTGTATTAATTAATTGTTAAACTAGATATCCCGGTGGCTGGATGAATGTTCGTTCTGTTCATCTTTTCTCAGAAAATGTTTCTCTTCCTCTTTACATCACAGACCGTAGTACAGCAGAGGTATTGTTTGGGGGTTTCTACAGGGCTTTAAACCAAAATACGAATGGCTAATGAGGTGTATACTGTATACGTGTTTTCAGAATGGTTTTGAATGGAAAAGTTTAACATCAAATGTTTTTCATATTTTTATACCTACCGAAAATATCATGTTTGAATGTTTGTAAATGAATCCTATAGATTATAGATACACAGAACATGAATTTTACTTATTTATATTAAAATTATTTAAATAATTAATTTGTGTTTATGAAAAAAAATGTCGATAAAATATGTAATTTTGTGTATCAAAGTTTTTGTCATTTAACATTTGAAGCAATACCTTTCAAATCTTAAATTACAGACATAAGCTATCAAATATCAAAATTCTACGGTGGCTAAGATATTGGGATTAGAAAATCGGAGTTTTTTTAGCAAGAACTTAGTTCCTGTAAAAACCAAATAGAAATATTTGTGCGAATGTAAAGTGTCTGTGTTCGTTTTTATGAATCAGAATGGACTGAATCCTAAGCTGCGAGAACTGTTTCTTAAAATTTATTTAATTTTTAATTTAGATCCTGAATGGGACGCTAAAGTTGAACGTAAAGGAGGTTTTAAAAAGATGAAGAATGGAAAACATGTAGTAGAAGAAGAAGAAGATGATGAGGAAGAGAAGAAGGAAGATAATAAGATGCAGGGACCACACAAGGAGACTAGAAAGGAGAAGAAGGAGAAGAAGAAGGTTGAAGACCTGGAGAAGAGAAAGGAAGAGAAGAAAGGAAAGATCAGTGCTGCCCCTGCGGATAGTGAGAGTGAGGATGATGATATGGATGATATGGAACAGGAATATATGAGGTAAAAAATACGCAATTTATTTGTTAAGGATAGTAAACCCTCTTTTTATGATTAGTGTTTACAGTTCACAGAATAGTTTATCCGCCCTCCTTAATAAGACGTTGTTTAAAGGGACTTTCAATGTAATTTCAAGTGACGCTTTATTTTAAAGTGTGGCATCTCTTATTCACAACGGAACCCTTTTAACCTTCATCAGAGTAAAAATGTGAAAGTTTGATATCTTCAAACATGTTCATTGTTTAAAGCCACATTACTTACGATAGTCTGCTTTATTTTTAAGATTAAAATGTTAATAATATTAATAATTCAGGAAGGTTGCGGAGGAGGAGGAGGAGATAGAGAGGAAGGAGAAGGAGAACATGAAAAGGTATTACATACACAATACACATCATACTTACCTGGGAAACAGATTGTTAGAAATATGTAATTATAAGTAATATAAAAGGTTCTTAAAATCCCTCTGTCTAACAAATGGGACCAGATTGATTGCATCCCAACTTAATTTGATATTTAAGATAACATTTAATTAACTGGGATACAAAGATATATGCATACAAACTTACATATTTACAGTCTTACATACATCTATACATACATACATTCATAAATACATACAATAAAGCTCTTCGCTTTTATACATATATATATGTTTATGTCAGCTATAGCTGGCCTAACGGCTGGACCAATTGGGCTGACATTTTTTGAGGAAACTCTTGAGTACCCGAGGGGTAACATTGGTTAAAAAAATTAAAAAAATTTCTTCAAAAATCGATTTTTTTTTCAAAATTCGATTTTAAAAAATTTCACGGGGAATTTTGAAATTTACAGATTATATTTTCCAGCATTGAGAAGGGCGGAAAGAAAAGGAAAACTGAAGCAGATGAGGATGAGGAGGAGGAGGATGAGGATGAGTCTGCTGATGATGATATTGAGGCTGAAAACCTACTTTCCGAGGACGAGGACGATGAGGATGGCGAGGATCTCATTATGGACAGGTACAGGAAGAATGCAGTCAATATTTAAATAGTACTCAAGGTCGATTCATTCTGTCTTGGATGTACTAGGGTTGATAGTCCTAAGCCCTAACATTCAAGAAGAAATTCTTCGACCTGTACCTTTTTATTATTTTTATATTTATTATTTTTCAAATTATCTTTTTTCCCCTAAACGTCAAATTCGTTCGTCTAAAACTCATATAGTACAGAATTCTTGTTTCTAAAATAAAAATAAAAATGTTTAAGCAATTCAAATTTCAAAGCCCTTAAAAATGGACAATCCAATTTAATGTTAATTTAATGTAATTTGTTTTACCTTCCCCCCCCCCCCTAATTAAAATAATTAAAATAACTATTAGTTTTCCCAAATATAGCGGCACAATCACACACCTAGTTGGAAATCAATACTATTATAATCGGGAAAAATATTTAGTAATATTCATTTGTTTACAGAAACCGACATATTTTGTTTCAGGGTGAATGATGAAGAAATTGATGACGAAGCTGAAGAACCGAAAAAGAAAAAGAGAAGCAAGAAAAAGCAGAAACTTGAAACTCCGAATACTAAAGAAAAGAAGAAGAATAAGAAGGGAGAAAAGACGGTGAAGGGTAAAGGAGAGAAAGTTAAGGATGGCAAGATCAAGAAGAAAAAGAAGAATTAAACCATTGTCAAATAAATTTTTTTTAATATAATTGTTAAAATCTCTAAATCTTTTTTAAAAATCAAATCAGGCAGGAGCACTATTTTACAGATTGAATTTAAAACAACCGGTTTCATGTGAATGAATGTCATTGCTAAGGATACGGGCGTATGTTGGTGCGAATTAAATAATTAATATATCTGTGTCCGAATTTAATGAATTTGAGCCGCGGCTTAAATCTGTCGAAAACTGGTTTTAATTGAGCGCCGGCTTAAATCTTGAAAAGTTTGATACAATTTTAAGTGGAATCAACCATATTTGAGCCGAGGTTTAAATTTAAGTCGCGGCTCAAATTCTTTAAATTCGGCCTCTGTTACACTTTTCCATCTGGCTCGTCATGTTTTTGCATATCCGGATCCAGGGAGCTTAAATGTTGGAGATCCGGATTCAGGTAGCTTAAATGGTGGAGATCCGGATTCAGGTAGCTAAAATGGTGGAGATCCGGATTTAGGTAGCTTAAATGTTAGGAATCTGGATCCAGGGAGCTTAAATGTTGGGGATCCGGATTCAGGTAGCTTAAGTGTTAGGAATCTGGATCCAGGGAGCTTAAATGTTGGAGATCCGGATTCAGGTAGCTAACATGGTAGAAATCTGGATCCAGGGAGCTTAAATGACGGAGATCTGGATTCTTCAAATACCATAGTGAAACGGATAATAATATCGGCGATGTTTAGTAAATTATTATTGAAAATTAACACAACTTGAAACATATTCAGAATTAGAGCTAGGATATATTTGTTATTTACTGGCCTAATGGTTAATAATTGGCTAAACGTTCTTAATGTTACATAACGGGATATTGCGATTTGATGATATTAAAATAACAGTTAGATGATTAAAGTTGTGGCAGGTTGTTAACGTCACTGCTAAGCCTTTCATTGAACAGAAAACTAATGAATGCCTCTGGGAATCACCCTTTTCAAACTAGAGTGATAACTTTTAATCGTTGTATTTATTTCAATAAATATTCAGAAAAGCACATGGAAAGCCTTTTATAAATTCTTACGACATCACTAATATACTTTAGGTTCAGTTCGTATTACTACAGTCAAGATCATGGTTAAACATACTTGCATTGTTTACTATAGGGTATTCCAGGAAACAGGAATTGGGAGATGACATCGGAAAAAACAAAATCGTGTAGATAAAAGCCGATATTTTTGGTTTAAAATAGTCTATATTTATATACCAAAATTTTAAAAATCACTTCACGATAGGTTGTTCCGTGTAAAATGGTTTCAGAAAAAATGAAGGAGTACTCCCTGAGAACCAGAAAACAGTGAACTTCTCGTCGTGTTCATGAAATATCACCACGGAATTGGTAATTTCAAATTTTCAACTGAAATATATCTAAAAAACGTGGCCAGGGACTAAAGTAAAGAGATCCTTCATGAAAAGATAACAATGCCTGATTTATAACGGTTTCCTTGAACCTGAATCTGATCAATAATGTGGAAGATACCGTCGTTTTTCTGACACTAAAAGTGTTTTTTTGCTTAGAGTTTCTCCGTTGCTTCCTTAAAGCAAGAAATGCGCAAGTCACTGTCGAAGAGAAATCGCAAATGAAATAAACAGTTTAAAGAAACAAAAACACGGATATCTATTTTATACTTGATCAGACAAAGCTTTTAAGGGTACTGTTGTTAATCTGGCAGTGACATCTTTGCATGGATGGTCACCTTAAATTACACCTACAGTCCCTTTAAAGAATAAGTAGACATAGTCAAACTCTTCAGTTTAGTCCAGAATATTCTAAGAGATAATAATAATTGCAACAATTCTAACTTGCAAAAAAGGAACATTTCTTATGTTATAGGAAGAACGAAGACGACATTAAACCGTGAGTTTTCTGGTTCTCTCTGTGTATTGAGTATGGAGTTGATCTTATTTTTGTCCATCATCTAGTTCATCCTGAAACATGAAGGTTGGGTTTTCATTTTAACGTCATATTGAAATTGTGTTTTAAGAAAGTTCTTTCGGGCGCACAATTCGATTAGGATTTTGCTTGACTATTTGATCTTCAGCAATCTTTGTTTACGGTCTACAGACGACATCAGGTTAAAAAGATTTAAGGATTATTTTAGTACATAGTTCCTACATTTAGGACAACTAAATAGCGATCGCACAGAAACAGACGTTACACTATTTAGTCTTTACTACGTGACCATAGAGATCGTGTTCAAGACATTTGAGAAGAAGTTCAGTCTGCTTCAGATAGTTAAACTTATTGTCCAGTATGCCTATAATAGCTCTAGAGAAATAATTTACCTTGACTAACCTAGTTTCAGTACTACATATAGTGATAACCAGAAAACAATGGAATAGGAAGACGACGTATTTGATGTTGTTACAAAGCAAATAGTTTTACGAGACACTTCTTAAATCACTTATTTAGTGAAATGGGTCTGTTTATAATTTTACTGCAACATTTCTGTGTCTCATGCTTATTGGACTTAATAATTTATGACTTGATTCTAAAGGTCGTCTTCTTATATAATTTTTTTGTCATCACTGTATTTATTCTTCTATGTAATAAAGCTTTTCGCTCATAAATAGATTTATATGTTAGCTATAGCTGGCCAAACGGCTGAACCAAATAGGCTAACATGGGGGGGGATTTTGAGTACCCGCGATGAAACATAGACTAAAAAATACTTCAAAACACAATTTAAAAAAAAAATTTAATTCCACTAGTAACGGGCATTATTGAATAATTAAATCAATTTTTTTTGAGAAAAAATGTTTTACCTGTGTTTTCATTATGGTTTCCACATTATGTTGCATCAACTCCGTTACTGATTTATCTTCATCTGATAGAGTAACAATGATGGAAGGAACCCGAGTCTGTCAGAAATAAGATTTTAATTTTTCCATTCCAGAATTTAATTAGATTTTAATACAAGTAACGCCTAAATGAGCTATACATCGGAAGAATTTATCAAATGTCGTCTTGACACTTTTTCAATGGGTTTTACACTTTTTTACGTAATCTCAGTATTTGTGAAAATAAATAAATAGCCATGAATATGCGGGAACAGTTTTAAAGAGCTCCATATAATTATTTAATTAAAAAACTAAATATCTGCAACATTCCATTACCAGAAAGTGAAGAATACGACATTTGATGAATTCTTTCTATGTATGGCTTATTATAGGGTTTAACTGTATGTCTAATGTTTATTAAAATATAGGGTATCCCATGAAACATGGCATTTGGTGAATTATTTTTAATGGTTTCTCCTATTCACAGTTGTTGATGTTACTTCTGTCTTACAGCATTTCCGTCCTACGAGCTGCTATTGATTGGTCCGATGTACTGTAGGTCGGTTGCACATCTTTCTTAAGTTGATTGCACTCTGCTGTAGGTCGGATACACAACATTGTAGGTCGGATACACAACATTGTAGGTTGTTCCAGATTGTTTCATGGCTATTTATTTATTTGTACAATTACTGAGGTATGTAGTACTAGTTGAAAATAAAACCCTTTGAACAATTGTCAAGACGACATTTTTTATTATTCTTTTGATGTCTCCGAAGTTCTGGTTAAACTGTAGGACTGCCATAAAATGTTTCTTATAATTCTTTTTGAGTTTTGTATCAAACAAGTTAATGATCTATGAGATGACACTATAAACCTTCGCCAACTGTCATGTTTCCTGGGACGTAGCATTTTTTCGAATTTTGTCTCGTTTTGTATCATGTATCACATTGACAATGTTAGTATATATTTGCCAAATACTGCAACTGTAATATTTTTTAACACTCGTTTATTCGTATCCAAGAGAAGGATTAACCGATCAAGTTTTTTTTGTGGTAACCGACAAGAGCTCATGGAAGGAGTATGGCCGGTAAAAGTTTAAAAATAGGAAAAAGGTTAATAAAATAGATATAAAGCTTTTGCATTTTAACATAAACAAAAAATTAATCATTACATCGTTTAACTAGATTTTTATTGTAAAAATTTTACGTTTATGTTATTTTTAACCTTTTCTCTTGCGGGTGAAAGAGTATTTTTCTCCTCCATTGCGGATTGTTCTTGTATTGTTTTAACGTCGTCTTCATTCTCTGGTTTTTTCATATCCACTTCTTTATTTTTCTTTTCAGGGTCCTAGTTTTATAAGTTTTATATTATTTAAACAATTAGATATCACTGCAGGGGTACCCAGAATGGCCGTGTAATAAGAGACGACTGTACAGAATTTGTTCTGTCTTCTTTCTCATGTTTATATACAGGGTGTCCCACATCATATTCGATCGTCAATCGGTCTAAATTACGATTTGCGGGACTAATGAGAAAATTTAAGAAGAATGAATCATTTTGAATAATTGAATAAGGCTGATATAAGAATTTTCTTGCGAAAATACTAATTTTTTCGAGTATTATGGGGTTATTTTGGCGTTAAAGCTTGGAGATAATCTAATATGATATGGGACACTCTGTAGATACATTCAGAAGTAAACTTTACTTCTTTAAAACAATCTTTAATGTTCCATTTACATGGATTATATTAAGTTCAATCTTAATTTTGTCATTTTCAAAGTGTTTTAGATCGTCATTATTTCTACATCGCCTTAGTTCTTTATTTCTTTTATTTTTTCTCTTTTAATATAAGTTTTCAACTTTTGTTCTTTTATTGGTGCGTGACATGATATCTACTAGAATATTAATATCCCCCAGTGGGTGGTTTCTTTATATTTAACTATTTAAGATGGCGACGATTACAAAAACGGTTCATCAAATTTTAAGATTGATATAAATCTGATAGATTATCACAAGCTACGATGAAATGGCTTAATTCTAAAATTCTTATAAAGTTACAATTTATAAGAAAAATTGATTAGAATGAGAATTACCCCAATTATAGTATAATGTTTCTCTAATTTATTATTCTTCTCTACCTCCACAATATCCACCTGAAGATAATTATTAAACATTTAAATTGAATTTGGAAACATTTGAAGTTCAAACTTTATATTTGATTTGGATTGTTTAGATCAAGGAGTCCATGGAATAAAAACTGACGCGGCCCGTCCTACCGTATGATTATACATGCTTTGCAGACGATACTCCATTTGTATAAGAAATATTCAGAATAGGTTGTATACGCGGTAATTGCACATCAGACAAATATTTCTTATTCAAATGAAGTAGGGTCTTCAAAGCATGTATAATCATATGGTAGGGCGGGCCGCGTCAGTTGTATCTCCCTTCTACTCCATACTCCTTGGTTTAAACAGACTGGATCCATATACATTAAGTCCTTTCAACCTAATTAATATAGAAGATATCTGAAAATCTAGTGCAGCGGGATTAAAAAAAAATGTGCTGCAGCGTTCGGTAACAATCAAAAATTGAGGTACGTCTCACGTTTTTACAAAGTTTAAAAATAAAATGAAGCCATACAAACTTTTGCTGTTATTTAAAATGGCCATACCCGATTCAAATCGCTATATATTATATACCATTTAAACTTTTTTCAGATCAATAATGTGGAAGATATCTTCGTATTTGTGGTTTGAAAAGTGCTTAGATTTCCTTCATTGTTTCTAAAGGAAGAAATCAGTCTTTTTAATTGATAAAATTGAAAAACTTAAATATTGAAATCATGAACCTTATTCATTCTTGATCCAACAAATATTTCGATGGTACCGTTATCAATCGGACATGCCACTGTATGAATGTTGATTACATATATGTAGTGATATGCAATATGTTGGGTTGTTCTTGGTTCACTTTTCAACTCTATACAGGTTCCGAGAAGCTTTACAAATATTTAAAATTGTTTATTTCTAAACATTTGTTAAAACATTGTTTTTTGGTTTGGTTTTATTTTCTTCTCTAAGGATAAAAGTATTGCAACTTTAACAGAGCTGAAAACTTTAGAATGTTGGATATCAATATCATTGCTTGATCTCCTCTTTTTATTAATCTCCAGATTAAATATGGCTTGTTCTCCTCTTGTCATTAATCTCTAGATTAATTAACAGATCGGGATTAAGTATATCCCATTCTAAAATTTTCAGCTCTGTTTTCAAATCTTTAATAAAAGTTTGTTAAAAGAACCATAACAACCCTAATTACATGTGTACACTGTCACTATTAGAAACAAATATATTTTATTCGTAATATTGAATATTGATCTACCAACACATTTGTACGTAATTATTATTTAATATTATTCATAGTTTACTTCAACATTATAGCTTGCTATATTTTCAAGTGTTCTAGCTTACAAGTACAAATTATGTATTGATACAGGGTGTCCCACAAAACATGACAGTTGGTGAATAGTTTAGGATGTCTTCTTCCATAATTTGTTAAGTTGTTTGATACCAAGGACAATAATAAAAATATTATATGGGAGTCATGTTATAGTAAAATTGGTTTCAAAGTAAAAAATATTTCAGAAAAATATTTTTTTAACGAAATAAACTGCAAAAAGACTTTAATATCTAATACAGTATATGAAAGACGACTTTCATAAATATTTACCAACTGTCATGTTTCGTGGGACACCCTGTAGAAGAAAATAAAAAAACTATACCATAGTAGCACGTCTTCTTGCATTTCGTCTCACAATATAAAATGCAATTCCTAAATAACAATTTTAATCCGAAGTAATTCTGTTTGAAGACCTATGAAAAGTTATTCTAAATATAGAACTAAATGAACTTTTTTTTAGAATTCATGAACATTTTTCAAAATTATTTTTGAAATACTAAAATTTGATATCCCTAATATAATAATAGAAATATTGAACAGTGTTTTTTTATTCTTTATTCTTTTTGCAAAGAAAGATATAAATAATGCATTGTTTTTCGTGGATATTAACGCCTGGAATAGACTGTATGCGTAATTTTCAGTGACCCTTCATCCATAGAAAGATGGCAACGGTGTCTTTCAAAATTTAATCTGATCAAAAATTTGAAAGTTCTTTTCTGACTCGAAATGTGTTTAATTGTGATAATTTCTCCATTGTTTCTTTTAAACAAGAAATGCGCGAGTCAATTTTGCAGAGAAACCACAAACGAAAATAAACACTTTAACAAAAACTTGGATATATCTTATACTTGATAAGACAAAGCTTTTAAGAGTACCGTTGTAAATCGGACATCGCCATTTATTCATGGAGGGTCGACACATGAAATTAAGCTTACAGTCCATTAAACCAACTGTAAACTGGTAGAGGGAATTAAAATCAGGCCTTATACATTTATATTATTTAATCTATAGTTGATGCTTGATTATCCTACAGGCGGTTATACAGAATTTAAACCAGTGGTGGGTGGGGGAGTTATCCTTTTGTATCCTTAGTTCTGTAATACTAGCTAAAGTCCTGAGTAGTCTCCTGAAGACTACCCTTAGTACTCCGCCTATTTATACTCTCCCTCCTATCCTAATGTAATCTCTCCCTGGCCTTCATGGGGGTTGCGAGAAGACATGCCAAACATTTTCATAATGCATATATCTATAATTGTTTATCAAGCAGGGGGGGGGGGAGGGAGCGATTTTAGACGAAAGAAAAATACTAAGGTAAAATCTAAACAAAACAGTGTGCACAGAAATTGTTCAACTACTTTTTAAGAGGAAAACATCCTTTTGTATATTGGGACAAGCTCATTTTCTACTTATCACACCTGATTTTAACCTTGCAAAATAAATTCCAGCAGGCCCACCCCTCTGTATATGGCGCCTGTAAACCATATAAAAAAACCAATTTTTGAATGAACTTGCTAAAAATTAAATTTCATTTCAAGATTTAGAACTCGCCTGCGACTAAACCAAGTAAAGCAGCGCCAGCAATAATGAAGAAAACAGATGAAGATTTTTTCTTCTCCTCATCTTCAAAATTTTGCCGATTTTCAAATGTTTTGAAACTGTCCAGGTCTAGTTCACGTTGTTTCCTCTCCCTAACCTCCATCCAATCAGTCCATGGCGAGGAACTGCTATCTAAACCACAAAGGACTCAGTTTTTGCCACATACTAAAATTTTCTAATCCCTACATCTTTGCAATCTAATGATGTTAACCTTTAATATTTTAAATTTTAAATATTTAACCTAACAAAACTCATTGTACAATCTAGAAATCTAAACAAATTTTGCGTGAAACAAAATATGATATACAATGATATTCCTTTATTCCTTTATTCAAAATATGTCTTTTTGAACCAACGAAAACAAAAGACGAGACTTAAGATGGATATATATCTCGAGATCAAGCAAAGATATCTTTGCTTGATCTCATCATTCAAAAGTTCTGACTTAAAATTTACAAATGATGGATTCGTGGGTCGAAGACAGCTTAGAAATTACCGCTCATTTCCCATGTTTATNTATACTTTATTCTTGTTTTTGTCTTATCATATTGTACCATTTTACCTTTGTGTACGAAATAAATCTATAATTAAAAAAAATATAGTGCATAATAATCAGAATAAATTCTGTACAATCGTCTCTGAAGTCTTGCATCCATTGTTGGTAACCCTGTATAATGTAAGCCAATTCTTACCATTCAAAAGATATCTTTTTGAACCAACGAAAGCAAAAGACGAGACTTAAGATGGATATATATCTCATCATTCAAAAGTTCTGACTTAAAATTTACAAATGATGGATTCGTGGGTCGAAGACAGCTTAGAAATTACCGCTCATTTCCCATGTTTATTAGGACACCGTGAACTTACCAGTTAAGCCGACTCTAGCTCTGCATTTGTAGGAGTCATGACCTTTTATACTGTTGGTAGTACAGTTTTCAACATCACCCTTGCATGGGAGTTGAAATATGTCATCAGTTTTAGTATTTTTGCATTCAACTATGAAATACGACATGTTGCAATTCTGATAGTTTGGCACGCTAAAGATCACGCTTGCATTGTCTCTGATGGTCATTAACAAATCTGGAATTGTTTTTATAGAACTTGTCCACTCAACAGAGTCATACTCGTTTCCTTCAGAACTTAGTAGAGAAATATCATAGGAAGTGCAGGCCTTAAAATATTTTTCTTATATGTATATACTTTTCTTGTCAGGTCGCCTGTCTGTTTGTAAGGGTGATTGTATCCAATAAACGTCAAAACGGCTGAACCGATCGGGCTTAACTTTTTCGAGGCAACTCACATGACCCTAAATAAGGTTTATGGATGCTCGATATTTAAAAAGATTTGAAAATTTAAAAACTCCACAAAAAACATCATTAAATTCGTTAACTTTTTTTATTGATTTATGTTATACAAAGAAAAAATATTAGAGCAATTAATTAAAATTTTAAATGCAAGATGGCTGCGAAGCAGCGCCCTGAAAGCCTGGTAACCTTTATTTTTGTATCAAGTATTTCGAGAAATTCAATAATTTGGTCTAAATCTTTCATGGAGTGCGAAAATGAAAATGAAAAGTGGAATTGATGTTTTTTGAATATGATTAAGATGAAACTTTTAAAATTGTCAAACTTTTTTATCTTAAATTCATTACTTCGATACTTTAAGCAACCCAAGGTATAAATTAAACCTTAAATATTTCTAACTTTGATTATTTGATCTAACAGAATTTAAAATTTGAAGTATGTCTACAATATCAGGTTTCAAAATATAAGGATTTGAAAATTGGAATATTCAGTCCCTTCAATTTTTTTCGTATATACATGTTGAGTATTGCCGGCCTAATGGCTGAAATTTTTTTGTGGACACTCATGGGTGGCCGGGGGATTTTATAGGCTAAAAAATTCCAAATTTTCTTTTCCACAGGCAACCCCGGGCCCTTCAGCTAGTGATTATAATTTACAAATGTTACCATCAAACTTGATAAATTCTTCAAAGGAAAAACTCCGTTTTCTGAGATTTCTGTTGGTTCAAGCCTTGAGTCAAAATTTGCTGTGTCTCTATTCTTTAAAGCCAGAGAGAACTTAAAGTTACAGGGTCGACCAGTAACCATTAAATTATCTTCATTAATATCAATTTGTGGCTGAACGTTGAAAAATCCGCCATTACTGTTGGTTTTTACAATTGTCTTCAGCAAAATCAATTCCGTTGGTTCCTCTGATTTTCCAGTCACTAGCTCATAATCAACAGATATAAGAATTTCATATTCGGTGCAGGGTCGGATGTGCCGCAAATTTTCAAATATGTTGTCCAAAGTATTTGGTAGTAGTAATTGTTTCTTCAAAATCGGAAAACCATCAGTGCTTTTATTTTTGTTGTACAGAGATATTTGTAAATAATGGGACTTTATACACTCCCCTTCCAGGTCGCCATCTTGAAATATTGTGGCATTTGTAATGTCAAATTTACCGAAACTCTCGACTACAGGTTGGGTAACCAACGTGTTTCTTAAATTACTTTGTTCATAGAAATTATTTCCCCCTGGGTATTTGTCGGTCAGAAATATCTCAGCAAAAATATTTCCAGTTTCAAATACTTGACATGAACCAACTTCTAGTTCTGTTTCACCAGTTTCCAACTGTTCTTTATCCAACACCTTGGCAGGTTGTTTTCCATCGTTAATAAAGATTGCCATACTGCGACCACAAAGAGGTTTCCAATTAGCAATTATCTTTGTTCCTTTCGCAGAAAACGTGACGCTATCCGTCTTCTTTTGATCTTTTTCTTTGATACTAAGTGTTCCTATTTGGTCCGAATTTAATTCTCTGAAGAAAGGGCCGAAGTTTCCGTCCCTGGAAAGTTGGACCCCATCTCTGTATTTTATAAATACCCGGAATACATAATCCTTACACTGGTCGATATTCAGTATGGTCAAGCTCTCACTATTGGATAACTCTCCAATATCAAGCTCCCGGATTAGTGAACCCTGGTCAAATAATGAGAAACTAAACTCATCCATTCCTTGACCACACCTTCGTCTATCCGAGCTTGATGTAAACAGTTTTCCTTTTCTATCTATCAATCTTATCTCGAGACTGGTTGGGTCTCTCAAGGTCTTCCCTCCAATGGTGTTCTCCTTGTACCCGATCTGGAGTGCATCCCGTAGGTTCTGGATAAGCTCACAATCTCCAGAAACTTGATTGAAAATAAATATAAATATGAATATATTCATGGCTAACATTAAACTTAAACTTAGGGCTGGACAACAGAAGGAAATGAGCCTTATCAAGTTACACTTACAATCGTATTCATAGTTACGTATAAATGTGATTCAGAATACTAATAATACTTTAAGCTTAAAGATAATTCTAGAGTAATAAATAATTTTGATCCCTTCTAAAAAACTGTTGGGATCAATATAAAGCTTCTTTGATTGATTCAATTGCAGGTTTTCAATGATTGGACTCGTGTATTTACTATTTAGGCGCTTAGAGAAAAAATTACTGTATACTTACAAGTTACAATCCTTTTAGGTCTGCATTTCTGTGAGAACTAATTAATTTTATGTATTCCATTTTCGTACGAACNGAAAAAATAACAACAGATCTCTACAAAACCCACAGATAGATACTTCCATCATTTTGCCACCCAGCACATATCTCTAACAACATACCTTATTCACTTGCATATAGAATTGTACGAATTTGCAGCAAACCACAACTTAGGTATACACAATTTTCAAAACTAATGGATTTTCTTCTCAGCAATTTCATCAATTGTGGACTCTATGGAAGTCCGAGCTGAAGTTATACCTAGAGAAGTTGCTTTGAAAGTGGAGAAAAAGGAGAAACCAGATCGAGTTAAAATCTCTATCTCATTTAATCCTCAACTGCCTTGTATCTCCTCAATCAAACGGAAACATTGGAGAACCTTTGTCCAGGATCCTTGGATGAAGGAGGTTTTTCAAAATCCACCTATGGTTACCTATAGGAGACCTCCTAATCTCAGGGATAAACTTATCCGAGCCAGAATTCCAGATCCTCCTAGAATGAGTACGAAGATTAAGATTAATGGAACTTGTAAGACCAGAAATGTAAATAGTTTACTGTATTACATGTGAGAATATATAATACAGACAACAAGATCTTTAGACGAAAGAGTGAGAGAACATATTGGTTACATTAAAAATCTCCATACAAACCAGCCTACGGGAGTACATTTTAACCATCCTGGACATGAACTCTACCATCTAAAAGTTAGCGTGCTAGAGAAGGTTTGGGACCTTAGTTGGGAGAAGTTTACTTGAAGTAAAAGAATCTAAATACATCAGAGATTTTATGACTAAACTCACAGAAAGAACAGACATTTTTTAATTGTTTAATTGTTAACTTTTTGAAAAAAGAGTATTGTTTATGTGCAATTCTTTAAAAGGTTTTAATACCCCTCCTTAGACAAGCTGCCCCCCCCCCTGATTTACGTAAAAGTTTATTAATTAGATCGACCCCCACCTCCACTTTGTACACTAAACAAATAAACTAAACAGTTTGTTTTTAATCTTCATGACAGAAACAATCTCTAGGAATAATAATTTTCTTTAAAAGTGAATACCTGCAAATTATCTTTTTTTCCATCTCATCATCTGAGTTCGTTTCCCTATTGTCCATTTGACAGCCCATTTTAAATGTTTTTTTTTAATAATCTTTTTTGTTTGTTTATTTTCTTGTGGTTTTTTACATCGATTTTGATGGTTATTATATCGTTAGAACTAACGAGATTCAACCTAGACCGAAATATATTTTCAATAAAATGAAGAACTAACATCTATTTTTTTTCCTCTACAGAAGTTTGGTCCATCACCATTACAGAATTTTAAACATTAAAGAATGCCACCCAGAAATCATGCTTTCAATACTTTCAACGCTTGGAAAATTCCAGCAGCCGTTAAACTCTCCGGCCAATTCAGGCCACGAGGCTCTGATACATGAGGGGGTGGAAAATAAAGTTTGCAAGGCTAAAACCAAAATACAGCCAGTAATCAGGAAGGGTCGGAAGACGGAAGATTAACTCGCCGTACAAGACAAATTAAAGAGAGCTCTGGCTTTCCACGATTCATCAGTATCATTTTATTTTTTCAGTTTTTACTTGTAAATACATTTTTTCCTATACTCTTTAGATTTACTCACATCAGTTTCAGGCTTTAGATTTCCTTTATTTCACACCACTTTTAAATAATGGTAACAATATTATTCTAAAATGAACATGGGAATTAAATGACGACTTCTTTATCGTCTTTGCTCCAAGCGGGATTGTTTTGTTATTGTGGTTTTGAAGTATCACAATTAAAACATGTAGCGCCAAAAACTAGTAGTCTGGGGATTTCCAAAATATGGTCTTCCATTTTTTCACCTTCAAAATTGACAGAAATATTAGAATTAAATGTTTAATATCTCCGTCAATTTTAAAGATACAAAGAACGTTGACCACATTTTCGAAAGCATATTTGACGTTCCATCTTTTTGCGATGCACTTTACGTAATTTATCAACTATCGGAAATCAAAGACGATATTCAAGTAGTATGTACTAAGTTGTGTGAATTTCTGTTTTAACTCTCTCTCTGTCCTATCGCTCTTATGATGCTTAATAATTTAGTTAGTTTTTAGATCGGTTTTTAAAGATTCCACAAAAATCTGAAAAGTTTAATTTTATCAAAACTGTTTATTCTAAACAGTTGTATTTCTTACACTTTGCCAAATTTTGACCCTGACACAAAATATATGCAAAAAAAGAAAATGTGAAAGCGATAGTTTTTTGTTCGTTTTTTCTTTGTATTCTCTATTGGATAAATATATCGATATTTACAATTTAGAACTATCGGAAGTTTTAATAAAAGTGTTAAAAATTGAACCAAAACAATTATCAACCCTATTCATTGATGACCTTAAAGAAAACAACTATTTTTGCAGGAAAATATATTTAAGGAATTATTATAGTTTTATCTAGAGGTAACTTAGTATTTTTAGGGTTAGGTCCTGGATAAGGGGGCCCGGGCCTTGAAAACAATTGATAATTAGAAACTTGTCTTCGTCTTTGTGGTTTATGATCGTGAGAGCCTCTTCTTCTGTTTTCACTATAAAAACAATAATAAAATCATGAAATATTTGGCGCATTTTCAATTTTTATCTTAAAAATAATACCTTGAATTAAAGGTCGGTCTCTTCACACTGGGGTTTATATCATAAACATTCACTAAGAAAATAAATTCAGCAATATACATTTATAGATAGATAGATAATTAAATATAGATCTTTAAAGAGCTGTACTAGAAAAGATTGAGAGTTTGCCATGAAGTCTAATTTCTGATCCCTACATGTTTTCACCATGATGGCGAAACCTTGATTTTTAGTCTTAAAATAATATTTGAACTTTGTGAAATTAATTAAGTGATTTAAAAATTCTAAATTGAGTTGATTGACCTTCATAAGGAAATCTCTGTTTCCATGTAAAGCTAGGTTTCTGAGCAAGTATCTAATAAGCTTATTATGAGTCTTGCCACCTGTAATTTGCCAACAAAGAACAAAGACGATATTTAAATCACCTTTTAATTATAATCTTCTGTTGATTAAAATGTTTTTTTTTACCTAATGGGTCCGAACTGAGTAGATTGCTGATGAGAAAAGTTGAAGGGGGGAGCCCAGGACTATATGGAACATTATTAGGATTTATCTCACCCAGAATCCCCAGAAAGGGTGAAGTGTTTTTTTACCAACCTGGAACTCTTTGATTATACTAAAAAAGATTTTGTCTTCTGTCTTGAAATCAGTCTTTCATGGTATAAAATAAATGATCTCACGAAGAATAAGGGTCAAGGAAACCAAGAGTTTAATAATGAAAGATGAAGCAAATTCTGTGCAATCGTCTTTGAAGTCGTATTCTTTGTAACCGGCCTTAAAAGCTTTCTCTGATCTATATATGAATTAGATATCATTATTTATCATTTTGAAAATTGATTATTTTTAATTATCAGTCCTTTTAAGTGAAGGTTTCTGAATGATAAGAATCCCATTTTTGGTTTTAGTTTTTTGGAAATAGAATTTTAAAATATGATTGGTAGGTGTTACCTGTTTCATGGTGTAAAAAGATACCAAAAAAAAACGGCGAAAGATGAAGGAAAAACGTCCTAAGAGCCTAGTAAAATTCATATCCTAATTCTCAAAAATCCTAATTTCCTTAAACTCGGCTTTTCTTGAAATCTATATCCTTCATTTGTCTCCGAGGGAAATTTTTCTAAACTTGTATCTTTCCTAGTCCCAGGAAACCCAATACGTTTAATAGAATTGGTCGCAGTCTTATATTTCTCTATGTTTGAGTTCTGGTTCAGTACAGCCCGTCTTGGATACATCTGTTTATTTTTAAACTCTTCAAATCTTTGTCTCCATCTTTTTTCTTCCATTGTAGAGGTTTTGTGTCTTTCATCTATCAAAAATAAAATTTAAGTAGATTAATAGGTATTTTTGGGGTATTTTGCTGAGGGGGGTGGGGGTAAATTTTGTGAGAATGTATCTGTACAAATTTTTAGAATTTAATTTTAGATTTTTTTAGAAAAAGAAAATTCCGCTTTTCAATCAACTTTAATTATATTTAATTATAATTTTCAAATAAATCGTTAAAGGGAGTGTTCGCGACAAATTACAAGGGGGTTTAGGCTTACGTCGAAAAATTATCGATGGTGATCGCTACTAACCTTACTTCTATCTGTTACAACTATAAGGAGAAAATTGTTAAAAAAGAACCATGCCGAAGAAGGTATAGCGTCCATGCAAATTTAGAAAGTTGCAGCATATGACTCAGATCGTAAAATAATCAACTTAATGCCTAACAAATCATTCAGATTACAACCTATAATCATTAATAATTTTTCGACGCATTCATATACAGTTTATGTTTCATAATGTTTTTTACTTGTCACATATCAAGAATTTTCTTCATTCAGGCTTCAAATATAATTGTATGATTTAAAGTTTGTCCTAAAAACAACTTTAGCTGCATCATGGGATTATCAGTAAAGAAATTGAGCCTTTGCCACATACTTAACTTTTTAAATCCTTATATCTTTGCAACCTAATGGTGTAAACCTTTGCTATTATATTCACCTGTTTGGAAAAATGAATATTAATATTCACCTGTTTGGAAAAATCCTTGATTTTTCTCTTCTAACATTTCTAGGTGTGTATCTTATTGGTAGAATATCGGTCAGCCATTTCCAACTGGTATTTCTTCTATTAATTGGTCCATGTGGGTTGATGGGAAGACGACCTTTTCTTGTTGTAAACCTCATATTATCCCGTTTGTTATTTTTGTACAGGTCCCTCCATTGGTTACCTTGATCATACAGAAATAAAAAATAATGAATTAAAGCCATAGATACATGAATTTACGCAGATTGGACAGCAAATGGACAGTAAGAAATGTGTCTCACGTTCTCATTTTTTTCGATTCACGCAAGTTCATAAACAGGTTTATCCACCAAGATGATAACGTAAAGACGACCTAAAATTCTACTTAACTTGCCTTGAATATAGTCTATTTTACAGTCGTTGGTGAATTATTTAATGATTTGGCGAAGAAAATAAACAAAACATGTTTACAGATGCAAGGAATAATGAATTTTTAGGCCAAAAAAAAAAATAATATAATTTCCGTACAGAGGTCTCTGAGCTCTCATTCTTACTTATATCAAGATTCTCTCAAATGACAATAAAGCACCCAAGCAAAATTACTAAGGCGGTTAAATAATTAAACAATACTTGACTATTGCATCCATTTGGAAGGCTCCCATCCTTTATTTTTTTATTTGCAGTCGACATATTGTAGGATTCACAAAATGTAGCATGGCTCAAAGTTAGTCGTGCTGGTTTAGATCTTCAAAACAAGAGTATAACGAACTAATATTAAAAAATTGAAAACCTAATCCGCAGAGTTAGCTAGATGGCCTTTAAAATTTAATTCGCAATTCAAAGATGAAAAGTGTTTCAGAAAAATAATGTGGGAGTTGAAACTCCTAGGAAGGATGCCTCAAGCAATCCATGCAAAGAATGACATTTGATTTGATTTGAATTGTGAATTTCTCCGGATATCTTTAATATCCTGAAATAAACAGTAAAGTAATGTATATATATATATATATGGGATTATTGAGATCAGTGGAAGTAATGTATTAAATATCGTTAATCTTGATCTTGATATCCACTGCCTGGCACTTTTAATTTGAGAAAAATGTTTCTTGATTCCTCGTTTAAAGTTGTTTCTTCAGGGTATGACCATCACTGAATATGTTTGCATAACATGGATATCAATGCTTGATCCCAAGAATAACAGCACAACATTATTAACTTCTGCTTTAACTCGTGCACTAAAGTTTCAGTAGAAGTAAATATTTCCATTTACTGTTATAGCGCCGATTGGAGGATTCATAATTCTAATTGGATAATGAGATAGATAGAAAGATAGAGGTGACCGCCATACATTTTCTATTGGTTCAGAATAGGTAACAAACACATGACTGAACCCTGATTGGATCAGGCGCTAATGGACCCGGCATACAGGAGTGCGTGGTTTTTTATTTATCTTTTACCTTGATTTATTTCTTGGCGCCTATCCCCCCAATAGGCAGCCTTACTTCCGGTGTTTAACATTATATCCGCTTGTCTAGTTCCGTATTCTTGATGTTGGGAATAAAATTTGATATTTCTTGGTAAATATTTTCTTCGAAAGGGAAAGTTTTCATGTGAGAAGGTTTCTCTTTTCCTCAACCTGGGCTGCTTTTCCGATTCAGAAGATGGCGTCCCTAAAAGAATATTAAGTTTCCGTACAAAAATAGATTTTAAAGGGACTGTAGACGTAATTACAAGTGATAACATGCAAAGATGACAATGCCCTAATCACAACGCGATGTCTGATCAAGTAGGAATAAGATCTCAATATTATCTTAAAAGCTGACTATTTTTATTTGTGATTTCCCAACATAAGCGACTTGCGCATTTCTCGGGAAAACATATAATTAGAATTAGACACTTTTAAACATAAAAAGCGACGATATCTTCCACATTAGTGTGGAATTGTTGTGAATCGGACATTGATTTCTTCGCATGGAGGGTCACTTGAAATATTGTCATTTTAAGTGCTGTAAACTTCTGTAATATTTTAAGTATTAAACCAATAAATAAAACATAAATTTTTGGTTCACAGAGGTCTTTCTAGGACTTCTGTAAAAGAGGGAGTATTTTTCACACCCTGGTAAAAATAAAAGAAAAATTTCAGAGAAAAAATTTTGACAGTATTTTTTTTAAATGCTCAAATTTTAACAGAAAAAAAATCTTGTTATTATATGTCGAGAGGTTGGGGGGGGGGGGGGNCAACCAGTACCAGTAAATGGGTGTACAGTAGGATTACACTAGACCAACCAGTACCAGTAAATGGTTGTACAGTAGGATTAAACTAGACCAACCAGTACCAGTAAATGGGTGTACAGTAGGATTACACTAGACCAACCGGTACAAGTAAATGTCTGTACAGTACGATTACATAGACCAACCAGTAACAGTAAATGGTTGTACAGTACGATTACACTATACCATCCAGTAACAGTAAATGGTTGTACAGTACGATTACACTATACCATCCAGTAACAGTAAATGGTTGTACAGTAGGACAACACTATACCATCCAGTACCAGTGAATGGTTGTACAGTACGATTACACTAGACCAACAAGTACCAGTAAATGGTTGTACAGTACGATCACACCAGACCAACCAGTACCAGTAAAAGCAAGTACAGCGCGATTACACTAGACCGACCATGAACCAGTTTGTTTTTAATCTTCATGACGGAAACAATCTCAAGAACTGACCTAGATCGAAATATATTTTCAATAAAATGTGTAACTAACATCTCCTTTATTTACTCTAAAGAGGTTGGTCCATCACCATCAACGAAATTTAAATCAACCTGTACAGTTCTCTTACAAAGATTGGATTATAAGCGTATTGTTACAGTTTTGAAATCTTCATGTTTAGGGCTCACAAATTTGCAGGCGGGAAGGTAAATTAACCCAATGGACAATACTTAAAAGTCGACCCTGTCTCAATAATTTATGAATAATTAATAATAAATTACCAAGCAGGATAAGAACAAGGTGTAAGTACATTTCTTCCTTATTTCAAGATCCCTTCAACGCAAACGAAAGTGGTATTCTCGTATTCTCGTCTGAACAAAAATAATAACTATTCACTCTTAAAGGGACTGCAGACGTAATTTTAAATGACCAGTGTCCAAATTTAATGAATTTGAGCCACGCGACTCAAATCTGCCAAAAACCGGTTTCAATTGAGCGCCGGCTTAAATCTTGAAAATTGAATACAACCAACCATATTTTAGCCGGGGTTATTTTTAGATGGTTTATGTATGTTTCATAATGGTTTCATGATGACAACAAAATTAAAAATCATGAATTTTCATTAAGAAAAATTCATGAATATCTACCTCATTATAGGGCGTGTAACGTTGTGAATCCCACATGCCACTCTGTGAATGGAGGATTACTTGAAATTACATCTACAGTCCCTCTAATCACATAAAAGGCCTTAGATCCAGGTTAATTTTTTTTGGTTTGATTCTTTGGTTTGATCTTTGAACAGTTAAACGTTTGAATCCAAACTGAGAGGTGTTTCATGTATTATAAATACTAATAACTAAATAAAAAGCCCCGCTTACTCAATTAAATATGTCCATTTTATTTAATCTCTGTATTGACATGAAACTTAAGATTTGAGCTTTAATTTCGGTATAAGATGTGAAGTATATATGTATATACGTTTAAATATGGAGAAATTTGTCAAGGGCAGTGTAATAATAGCCCAGGAAATATATTGCTTATCATTGTAGATAGATATATAGATATATAGCAACCATATTAAATAATCAGATGTGATAAATACTCTATATTCTGTATTCTGTATTCTGTATTCTGTATTCTGTATTTTGTATCCTGTATCCTGTATCCTGTATTTTGTATTCTGTACTCTGTACTCTGTATTCTGTATTCTGTATTCTGTATTCTGTAAGTAATCTCCACGGAAGAACCCAGATTTGGATTGTATTCCTTGTAAGCCCAGTGGAAGATATTAAACTAAATAAATTAAATCTCCCTCCCTCCCTCCCTTCATTCAACTATTCAGAGAAAATCCAAGAAACCAAAGTCAGCATACACACACTACAATTCCTTCATTTACAAACAATTTATTGAGTATAGAGTCAAACAAATAAAATAATCTAATATTGTTTGTACTGGTTAACCCTGAAAAGCCTGAATTAATGTACAGAGTTAACCACAAAAGATTTGACTTTAATGACGACCTGAAACGCCTTAAATATAGCTATAGGAAGGTTGTCTTCAATTTATAAATGTTTTGTTAAAGAAAGAAACACCATAAGAAGCACTATTACGGGGAGTCAGGAATACAAGAAAAACATATTTGTCCTTTCCTTATAGTCGTTTGTGAAGTTTCACTTTTTATGGGTAACCCTGTATAATCAGAGGGAGGGGGGACAATGCATAATGACCTATAAAAAGTTCTTCGCTCATTGATGTTTATGCATGCATTGTAAAAAAAAACTTATTTTATGGTTCATGGGTGGCTTAAAAAGAAAAAAAAAGTTTTAAATATTTTATCAAATGTCAATTGTTTAATGTTTATACATGAGTTTTTCAAGGGCTGTACACTGTACTATAAAAACATAAGTTGTCAAAAAAGGCTTTAAATTTATTTTTCTTAAAAGTCAAAAAATATAAAGCAGTATGGGAAAAAACAAGCTGAGGGACTTTTGTTATAATATCAATATTTTGCTCTGTTTGGAGACTTGGGAATACTTCGCGAAAAATTACGATTCCAAGTTTCGAGCAAGAAAAAACCGACACAGGACCCTGAGATATAAACAATAATTTTTGACTTCAAAGTCTGAAAACGGAGCGAAAAATTGAAATTATAAAAGAAAGTATCGGCTTGACAGAATGAGAATGGAGGCTTAACGGTTTTTAAGACATCAGGAACATTGGCCTTGAAGGCAGTNCTTTTAAATCGCGGGCTCAGGAACATTGGCCTTGAAGGCAGTGAAGCTTTTCTTGTTTAGCTTGATGCAACCATGTCGGTGATCATCTTGCAAACTCTAGGGATGAAGAACTTGGATTGTGTGAAGCTGAGGACATGGAGAACGTCTTGGCCATGTCCCTGCTTGTGTGACATGCACAATGCATTTTACCATGATGCTTTTCTTGCAAAAAAATAATCACGCAACCTCCATCTGTTAATGTGCTTTATTTTGAAATCAAAATGCAAGTAGCTAAACATAAATTTTATTAAATTTTTTTTCAATCCCAATTCTTGTATAAAAATACAAGTACGTTTTTAGACCCCCAAGACATGCAGCATCTGAAAATTTCTATTTTGACAGTTAACTTGACATTGACACCCCTTAAATGGATGAACCCTTTGTTGGGTTCACAGTATTAGAGTAATTTTATTAGGTTTTTAATTAAATGGCATTATTGCTTATCTCTAAAAGGTAAATACAGCCAAGTATAAATGTTTTACAGAAGCAAGAAATGTACATAAGGAACCCCCCCCCCCCTTAAAGGGACTGTAAAGGAAAAATGAAAGCTAATCACTTTAGCTCTCGATCGCGACCCATGAAAGTTATATCTGATGTTCCTATCTCCTAACTTTGTCAAATTTATACGAAAATTAATATATATATAAAATTTTGTATACAAGTAGTGGGTTTAGATAGATCAAATTCAGCAAGTAAGCAACCAATCTGAAAACGATGATATCCCAGAGAAAGCTAATTGTAACTTAGGTTTACTCCAATTGTAATTTTATATTTGTTATTTCTATTTTTAATAGATTTAATTCATAATATTATTTATAAGTCCGTATTACTTGACCAGAAATTCCACCAATGGCAGTACAGTCCCTTTATATCTGGATTGATTCATACTCAAGAATACAGAGAGAGAGAGTTGAATCTGGATTGATACAGACTTAAATTACTCTTGGAGTAAGGCATTTGTTACATACAGAGTCTAAAACTAAAGAAATTAAACAATCTTTAAACTTACGGATTTTTTTATAATATACTCTTTCATTCAAAATGTATATGCCGACAAAAAAGTTTTTAAGAAAAAAGACTAAAATATTATGTATAGTGGTTCAAATCCTGATCGAAAGGCACAACTTTCTGATATATATATTGACAGAACCGTTAAATCCACGTGGCTTAAGCCCCTCCATGGACAAATTTCTGTTTATGCCCCCCCCCCCCTGGTTTCACGTATCGGAGCTTCCTAATATATTTTCCTTGAAGAGATGTAAACATAGGACAGCTGGATAATCCAAATGATATATAGAACAAATATGGGAAGAAAAATGAGTTTATTTATTTACACGGAGCTTGTGATGTAGGAAAAGTGTAGGAAAATAGTATGTGAGCTGAGAAATATAAAATACTATAGGGTTGCAGGGGCGCTTCAGACACCTTTTAAAACATATTTTTTTTCTTTTTGAGTCTTGGACTTTGGAAGCAGGATAAAAATTTGATTTTCTCCCTTATAGAGCATCTTTTAGAATATCATTTGGCAATCTCATATTTATCGAATATCTCCATAGCGTTTTAATGGGGTAGAACTGGGAAAAATATTTGAGACATTAAAAATTTGTATAATGAAATTTTCAAACAAATTTAAGTGAAGAATCTTTTTTCGTTTCCCCTCAGCGCAAAGTTATGCATGTGTGGAACATGCATAAAAACATGAGATTGGGAACATTTAATTTTTTATTAAGAAACTTCCTCCCAAATAGGATCATAAAAAAATCTTATGATTCGGAACATTTTTTGTTTTCATTGGGATATTTTACCTCAAACAATTATCATAAAAATATGAAGATTGGATACATTTTATGTTTTTAATGGAGAATTATTAAATTATTAATTTTTTTAGAGGCAAAATCTTGAATTGTGACAGTTCTCAAACCTTTTCTGGGGTCATGTGAGATCCAAAAAATATTTTGACCAGTTTACCCGTTTTTTGACGTTTATTGGATATATATGTCCTTTTTTAAGTCTTAAGTTCCGTTACCTTTAACGACGTTTCCTAAAGAAATTCTAGGATTTTCTTCTCACGATGCTGAACGTCAAACGGAGCATTTTGGAATCTTTCTGTTATTAAAATTAAACTATTTTAGGATAAAAGAATAATCATAAAAACGATTGTTTGAAATGAAGAAAGAGACGCGAAATCGGATTAAACTTGAACTATTAATTTGGAAAGGTTGAGAAGTTTGGTTGTATTCGGAGGATCGGAGTCACGGATGCTGAGGTCCGGAGGGGGAGGGGGGAGACGGATATTATCTTGCAGATTCAACCGAACCCTCTCCGACAACGGAAATATAACTGAAAGAAGTAACTTTGACGAAGTCTGTTGCTTATTCAAAAAGTGCTTTTTAATAACGCATGAGAAAGATAATTTGAATCGAAAATATGAATTGTTAAAAATACAATCTAATGTTAAAGTTACTTTATAAAGGATTTTTTGTACAAATGATTTCAAGGTTTTGCCAATGCTGTGAAAAAGAATGATGAATAATAGCAAATATCTAGATCATAAAAAAGTCAGATTACTAACTACAATTTTTCATTTCTTAAATTCAAAAATATTAAATTTATTTTTATTTCATTTCAATTCATTATGTTCATTCCATTAAGTTTTATCATTACATGGAGAGAATTTAAAATGAAAATTTTTCAAACATTAAAAATTTACTTTAAATTTAGAATATCTAAAAGCTATACTTTCTCCCTAAATAAAAAAAATCTTTAAAAACAAAAAAATAGACCATTTTCTCTATACTATGCAATATTCAATATTGTGTTTACGGCGCAACGAATTAGTATAAATTCCATATTGGAAAAATGTTATAACTAAAAAATTAGGGTATAAAAAATGTCGTAGACGTGGTAAACTTCAAGTCCAAGGTCGTCTTCACTTCATAACTAATTTTCCCGATTGAATTCAAATTTTTTATATTTACTATTTTATGCTTTTCTGTTAAGAAATTTTGAGATTTCACATAACAAAATTTGTTGGAGCACCGGAACCAAATTCAACTTAGTAGCATCATTCGTCAAATTTTGTAAGATGAAATTTATCATTCATCAACATTTGAAGAATCAAGTTACTATATAATTAAGTGGAATTCGGCTCCGGTGCTCCAACATATTTTTTTAGATGAAATTTATCATTTATCAACATTTGAAGAATCGAGCTACTAAGTTGAATTTGGTGTTTTACGTAATTTTTGACGGATCTTATATGAGAGATCAAAACATGTACTTTGGTGTAGTTAGTTTTACGTTAATCGGACCCCCACGATTAACCAAAGAGAATAATTGTATTTGATATGTTTAAGAGTATGTCTGAATAAAATGAAAGAGTTAACCATCTTGAATGTGTCGAGTAGTATCCCTGAGGTTGAGCTGTGGACCAATGATACTTGTTCCTCCTCAAACCATCCTAATACCATCCTTGCAGTTATAACCATTGTCTCTGCTATACTCACAATACCGAATATTGTGGGAAATATGGTAAACAAACTTTTCCTAATTTATGGGATTGTCGTCTTAGTTTTAAGGAGAGGGACACACCCGATTCACAACGGTATTAACATGGATATCTAAAACTTGATCAGAAAAGGTACCTTTGTGAATCGGACTTTTTTTACATTATTAAAACTACTCATAAATAATACCATGAAGAAATTAAGTCTTTGCCACAAACTCTGATTTTCTAATACACATATCATTGCAAGCCAATTTCGAAGACCTTAGATATTTCAAACTATGAATTCTGTTCGGTCAAATAATCTAAGTTTGACATAGCAAAGGTTTACACCATTAGGTTGCAAAGATATAAGGATTTAAAAAGTTAAGTATGTGGCAAAGGCTCAATTTCTTTACTGATAATCCCATGATGCAGCTAAAGTTGTTTTTAGGACAAACTTTAAATTATACAATTATATTTGAAGCCTGAACGAAGAAAATTCTTGATATGTGACAAGTAAAAAACATTATGAAACATCAACTGTATATGAATGCGTCGAAAAATTATTAATGATTATAGGTTGTAATCTGAATGATTTGTTAGGCATTAAGTTGATTATTTTACGATCTGAGTCATATGCTGCAACTTTCTAAATTTGCATGTTAGGACAAACTTTAAATTATACAATTATATTTGAAGCCTGAATGAAGAAAATTCTTGATATGTGACAAGTAAAAAACATTATGAAATATAAACTGTATATGAATGCGTCAAAAAATTATCAATGATTATAGGTTGTTTACACCGTCATATTGCAAAGATATAGGGATTAGTAAATTTGGATTTGTGGCAAAAACTCAATTTCTGTTGCATTTAGAAACTACACAAAGATAAAGAAGCAATGCGTAAAGGAATTGAGTCCTTGACACAATTTCAATTTTTGTAATCCCTATATCTTTGCAACCTGATGATATTAAACCATTGATATTTCAATCTTACATTATTTGATCTAACAGACTTTATAGTTTGGAATATCTAAGGTCTACATTGAAATTAGATGATCAGAGTTTGTGGCAAAAACTCAATTCCTTTTTACCTGGAACTCTGATTTTCTTTAAATTTGGTTAATAGAGAAGAATTTTCTACGTATTGGAATATGCAACATAACATCGTATTTATATATTTTTTAAGACAATTAATATTTTATCTTTTTAAAAATAAACAGAAAATATTTCGAAAATTCCTGAAGTTTTTTAAGATTTCCTGAGTTTCTTGATTAAAAACGCTAATATGATTGCTTTTAATCTCAATACAACTTTATATTCGAAATATTTGGGTACATTTTGCATTATCCTGAATCACAACTGCACCCTCTAAACCTGCGTCAGACAATCTGGTGTTTAGGATAATTGTAATTGTAATTGTATTTGATCTAACACAATTCATAGTTTGAAATATCTTAGGTCTACGAAATTGGGTTGTGAGGATATAGGGAATTGAAAATTAGAGTTTGTGCAGACAACGACTCAATACCTTTCAATAAATAGAATTTTCTTACAGTTTTTCTGCCATTTTAATAAAAATCCGGAAGTAGATCCGGATACTAGATCCGAAAAGTTGATCCTGATCCGGGTTTACGGGTCCCGGATCGAGGTCTAATTTCAGATATGAAAACAGATCAGATAAATATATAATTATCTATTCTATTTTAAAATTTAAATTTTATTCGGAAAATATTTTCTACGCTTAAGAACAAAAACCGTCTCCTCATGTATATTTTGTGCACTTGCATTACTCATTCCAGTATTATTTTGAATTATAAGAGTCTGGAAATTGACTCAAAAAGAGCTTCTTGAGTAGTAGAGCGTGCTGAGATATTTTTATATCTAAGTTTGATTTTATTACATTTTGCCGCAAATTTGTCTGACTCAAAGATATAAACCAAAACAAAATCACCCAATCACCCGTCTTGGTTAATATCTGTTAATATCTATTCTGAACCAACAGAAATAGTATGGCGGTAACATCTATCTTTCTATCCTTCTCATTATCCAATTAGAGATATGTATTCTAAAATCGGCGCTATCAGTAAATGTAAATAGTTACTTCTACTGGAACTATAGTGAGCTGTGGTCAATGGTCAGTGATATTAAAAACTGACCATCTAAATGATCCAATATATTTAGATGGTCCTGGCAGCATACATGAAGGTTCAGGCTCAAGCCCGCGGTCCTGCTCATGCCCTCCTTATCCCCCTCGCAATATCTGATATTATTCTGGGCATTTGGTCGATCTTAAACATCAGCAATCTAGGGAACGATCACGCTTTATTGGCTAAGGTGAGAAAATAATTTTCCAATCCTTTTCTTTGCAACCTGATGGTGTAAACCTTTTATATTCAATTTGTTCAGCAACCTGGACATAAAAATTCATTAATCGCATTTAAAAGAGGCAAATTTAGATATGAAAAACTATAGAAAGTTTTTTTTCCATTAGATGACCTGAAACGCATTTTTTGTTTTGGATATCGAGATCAAACTAAGTAGATTAGCGATATTTTACATTACATTTTTATCTTNATGGTGTCTAGTTCACATATATCTCTAGACATTTTACTTCAGGTTGCAGAGATATTAGGTGTCGTTGGATCTACTGGAGGGATGGTTTCTATCTCACATATATCTCTAGACAGGGTTAGCAAACTTATTTCTAGTATTTTTTTTACAAATAATATCATTAGGGGTTAATACAAAAATGTATAAGGGGCAAACTTGTATTTTTTCACCCTCTACATTTTGACTATGTGGGAACACTAAAAAGATTAAAAACTTTCATTTGATCATATACTGCAAAGTCTTTTTTTCCTTTTTTTTAGTAGGGGAACACCCCAGCATAAGCTTCAAGTTTACCCCTGAATCCACCCCTGGATATATCAGAAACAGTAATTATAATGAATAAATGTTTTTCTTATTTTTTTTTCAGACTGTTTCCATTGCTTTTCCCTTCTCATACACTGTGGATAAGCGTCGAATTCTCAGTGTTTACTACACTAGTATCATCATCACTGTACTCTTCACATCTTCACTCGCTTTCACACTATCAGGTAGGTCATTGTCGACACACTAATAGGTAGGACATTTTCGACACACTTATAGGTAGGTCATTGTCGACACACTGAGAAACGTTACTTTTTCATCTAACAAAAAGAATTGAGTGTTTGCCCACTGTTCATTTCAAGAACCGGTCTGATATCTAACCAGCTAGAGCTAGCTGTACAGTACACAATCACATACAAATTATACCAAGCAAAACGGGACGGTACACCGAATGAACCAGCCCCTTCTAGAAAAATTCTTGTGTGCCACAAACTCTGATTTTCTGTTCCCTATGTCTTTGAAATTCAATGTCGTAGACCCAAGACATTTCAAAAAATGAAATCTGTCGGATCAAATAATAATATCTCAGTTGGATGCATTATTTTCGATCTAAATTCAAGAACTTCAGTCTAAATTTATCCCCAGTATCGTAAATTTTGGCTGACTTTGAAATGAAAATGTGACGAGTGAATCAAATACAGCCTCTGAACATTATTGAAAAAGTTTGTAAAGAATAGTTATTGATCAGATGCGTTTTTGGGTATTTTTAGGACCTTTTCTTAATATTCGCTTTTTCGATTCTAACATCCATAACCATTATACAACTTATGTTAAAGGTCGTTTTTCAGTTACACAAAAACGACCTTATGGGGCGATTCGTAGCACAGTGGGCTTTATAGTGAATTCGTAGCACAGTGGGTGTTCTTGTGAATTCGTAGCACAGTGGGTGTTCTTGTGAATTCGTGGCACATTGGGTGTTTTTGTGAATTGGACAGAAAACTCTAAATTATGGGAAACTTGTATGCAGTTTCGTTAAACTTTTTTCTTCAAATTGTTCGTCAAAAAACGAGAGGGGGGGGGTTCTTAATATTCAATTTAAAAAACTATTATAAACTAAAAGTTAAGACCAAAAACCTAAAAAAAACTATTATTTTCAGATTGCGGATTGCCTCTGTTTGTACTGTTCTACTCTGTGTATCACAAGATTCAACTTTTCACTATTTTCCTTCCTTGTTCTCTTAGGAAACATTTTAATGAAATACAGCACTCTCTCTCTTAATTACAATTTTAATTAGGAAAATGTCAACAAATAAACTTGTTAATAATTAGTTCTCAGCACGTGTACAAAACTTCTCAACGTGTACAAAACTTCTCAACACGTGTACAAAAACTTTCTAATAAATGTACACAACTTCCTCACACATGTACAAAGCTTCTCAGCACGTGTAAAAAAACTGTTCAACACGTGTACAAAACTTCTCAACACGTGAACAAAACTTTTCAACACGTTTACAAAACTTCTCAACAGGCGTACAAAACTTCTCAACACGTGAACAAAACTTTTCAACACGTTTACAAAACTTCTCAACAGGCGTACAAAACTTCTCAACACGTGAATAAAACTTTGCCACATGTGTACAAAACTTCCAAACACGTGTACAAAAGCATCTTAAAAACTTATTTTCTTCCAAGTTGTAAAAAAGAGGTAATTGAAATGAACCCTCTGCTATAAAGTGGCATGTCCGATCATAACAGTACTTTTTAAATCTTTTTCTCTCATCAAAATTGAATGAGTTATGCTTATTTCAACACTTTAAAAGATGTAAAAAGACAATATCGTTCTTATTGATAATCAAATTAAGGGTTAACGTGTTACCCCTATAAATGAACTTAAAATGGAATCTATATTAGTTTGGTTGTAAGTCATGTTTATCTAGCTAGGGTGGCCAGAAGACACGCTAAAAGCATCAGGTATGAGAATTTATATAGTGTTTACAGTGTGTACTGTATGTACGTCGGAATATATGTGTTTGTTTGTGTATATATGGGTTGTATAAAGTTATCTAAACAGATAGAAGTAATTAGTGAGAAGTAACTTAAAGTATACATTTTCCCATCAGGAAAATCAGTGGCCGCTAGACTTTTCTTCCTTTACACACAGTAGGTCGTCTTTCTTCAAGTGTTGGCACGATTTTTGAAATACCGCGGGTGCCACCGGGTAAATTATTAGTAGATTATTGAAGATTATAGAACAGCAATTTTATTCGATAAAAAAGACCGAAGAGGAATTTACTAATTGACTAAAAAAATCTTTAAAAGATGCAAGATACCCCTCATGGATAAACAGTAAACATTAACCACAGTTTAAAACTAACCAATGTCTAACAAAAGAATTGAACAAATTGACTATTTACTGTGAAAAAATCCAAAGCCCTCTTTCGATCCAGAAGGTTTATGTAAAAACCTAGATTATTGCAATAATTTTTAAAACACTACTAATGCATAGTTGAAAATTGTATATGGTAATTTTAACGTTACCATAAAAAAGTGGTCTGAAATAAAGGAAATCTAAAGCCTTAAAACTGATGTGAGTAAATGTATAACAGAGTACAGGAAAAAATGTATTTTCATGTAAAAAATGAACAAATAAAAAAACTGTTGCTTCGGTTTTCCACGCGTTCAAACATGCGTTCAAAATGTTTTCTGGGTTCGCATTTCAACGACAAATATTTCTCCACATTGGTGACTTATCTGAGGGGGTTACTTCAATGGAACTATCCCTATTCCGAGCTATTGAGCTCACACTGGTTACATTACATTGGCAGTTTTCAACTTTTTTTCAATAGTAGGGCTTATGCAAGAGTACAGTAAAAATCAGATATTCCTAAGATGTTCTAATGCCTAAATTATTTTATTATTTTGGAGAAAAGTATAGAAGCATGAAGCCTTAGAATATATTCAAAGCATAAACAATGAACGAACACGGGTTGGGTTTTTGTTACAAAGATAACATTTTACATAAATTACTCGACTAAAAATAAGATAATTGAAGGGACTGTAGGAGGGATTTCCAGTGGCCCTCCATGTATCGAGAGGAATATGTCCGATTTGAAACGGAATCCCTCAAACCTGTGTCTGATCAAGAATAAATAAGATGTTCATGGTTTTCTCCTTGAAAATTGATTATTTCACCTTTGAATACTTGATGAATGTGGAGTTATGCTACAAAAACAATGAAGGAAATTATATTTCGCATTTAATCAGATCTAGATTAAAAGGTACCGTTGTAAATCGGACATTGTCCTCTTTAAATGGACCGACAGTCCTTTTCATATGCTCTTGATTCAATCACTAAGTTATTATGCTTTTATTCAGGCGAGTGAAAAAGGTGATTGCAGCAAAAGAGATTAGTGACAATGCTTGGCTATCAGGTAGAAAATATAACTAGGCTAGTACTAGGGGACTCTTTATAAACATTTCTCGTGCAAGATAGGACGCACCTGAGTGGACGCATATAAATGATGAACATTACGCATTACATTTTAAACAATTGCTTTGCAGTCCAAAAATTTAGCCAAGTTTTAATCCTCAGATAAGTTAAATTCAGGGGCGGATACAGGGGGGGGGGTGCGGCAGGACCTTTGCACCCCCCTGAAGGATTCAGGAGGTGCGTAGCCCCCCCCCCTGAGATTTCAGAATAGCTTCTCAGATTTCAGAATAGCACTTTTAGGGAAAGAAAACCTAGTGCAAAACAGGAAAACTATCTTTAAAAAATTTTGTTCCTAAATCTGGATGTTTTTGTTCCCAAATAAATCTAGCACCCCCCTCACTTAAATCCTGTATCGGCCCCTGGTTATATACGAAAAATGAACCAAAAGCCAAACAAAAACGATCCATTATTGTTCGTTTGCTCTGTTTATTTGCTCGATCTAAGGATATAAATCTTGCTTTTTTATTATTATTATTATCAGACACTCCGGCATTCAATGAAATAGGGGGTCGACGCTCCTCGCCACCGAAGTGTTTTCAAATGTTAACAGTATTTAAAAAAATTGAAAGTCTAGAAAAATTCAGCCAACATCTACACTTGATACATACATATCAGTGATATTATCATAATATAAATCTCATATTGAAAGTTTTCCTTAAGTAGGTTGGAATCGAAAAGGAATTAAACCAAAGGCAAAAAATGAAATTATTTTTTTTTATTTATCCCTTTTATTCCAAGATTATAAACAGAATTAATCCTGTCTTGTCTATCAAGGATGATCCAAAAGACGAATTAATCCTATTTTGTCTATCAAGGATTATCCTAAAGACGAATTAATCCTATCTTGTCTATCAAGGATGATCCTAAAGGCGAATTAATCCTATCTTGTCTATGAAGGACAATCCTAAATGCGAATTAATCCTATCTTGTCTATCAAGGATAATCCTAAATGCGAATTAATCCTATCTTGTCTATCAAGAATGATCCTAAAGGCATACTCGATATTATTTTGTAAAAATACCATAAAGTTCTCAGGTTCCGGTTCTCAGGAACACTTGTCAGGTTTTTCTTTGGATTTCTAAATTGTTGAACAATCCCTTCCAGGAAATTTACTCAAATATATTCTAGGAACAGGAACGTCTCACTATCAGGATCGGGAACGTATCTCTACTGCTTCAAGCCAGAAATCTAATCGTTCCAATGCAACCTTTAGATCCGGTGCATACAAAATATCATTGATGGCGACAGCATTCGTTTTTTTTATCGGCTGGCTGCCATCCCAGGTTAATAGCTTCATAAATATAGATAATTTTGGATTCCATTTTGTTTTGGTAAAATCAACATAAAACTAAATTTAAAGGGACTGTAGGCGTAATTTCAATGGATCCTCCATGCAAAGATGGCATTGCCCAATTTACAACCACCCCGGACTCCTCGGACTAACGTGTTTTGGTCTATAATTTAACTGTAATCTTTAAACTAACGGATTTGATTGTTTTTTACTTTTTATTCAAAACGTATATGCCGGTAAAAAAGTATTTAAGAAAGAACACTGAACAATTATGTTTAATAGGAGAAATTGTGATAGAAAGTCATAGCTTTCTGGAATATTGACAGGACCGTTAAATCCATGTGCAACGAACCCTTAATAATTTTGATGATTTCTCTATTGCTTCTTATGGATATCTGATTTATACATGATGAGAAACAGCTTTTAAGGTACTAAAAGGGTACCGTTGTAAATCGGGCATTGCCTTCTTTGTATGGAGGATCACTTGAAATTACGCTTACACCGTACAGACCTATTGAGGGTGAAACTACGGGACAGAGTATCAAAAACAACTAGTTTTTAGTCTTAAATAAAATAATTTTTAAAATATCGAAAAACAGACAGTGTACGGTATTTAACGGTTCAAGAATCAAGACCCATATTTTGATAATAAAATGTTTTGAAAATACTGTAAAAGTAAACTTCCTTGAATACTTCTGTTTTTTATCGTTAATTACTAAATGAATTCTGATTTTTTAAATGATTTTTTTCTTTTATATATGTTGTTTCTTATTTGCTACTGTATAATTTGTTTGTTGGTTCCAAAGGGATTTGACATTTTTTGGCTTACTGAAGTTATTTAAACTAGTTTGATACAGGTTTTCAATGTTTTAAAGCAAAAACCTTTACGAGAATCTCTAACATTTAATTCCTAAAATCAAAAGATCGCAAAATTGTCAAAATTAAAAGCTGTTTGTTCGAAATTGCTAATAGAATTTATTATTCTGTTCATATCTTTGAAAAAAATGTGCGTAATTTCGAACGCTTTCTGTAGTACAATATTAAGAACAAAGTGTAATATTTTTTTAATTAGTTTATCTAGATTCGATCGCGTCCAGAAGTAACTTTATTTTGTCTTATTCAGTGCTTTGCAAAATCGGCCCTCCTAGGGAAATTTTTCATAAATTTGTTACCTTAAAGTAAAGTTTTAATAAAAAAACATTTCTTTGTTAAGATACTTCCGTTCTTCCTGGAGAAAACAAGCCCAGTACTAGGGTTTGCTAGTCTAACCGTCCTACTTAGGTAAAAAACAATCATGAATGTTATCAATATGAGTATATTTCAGGGAATATTAGTTTCAAAACTAAAATTTAGCATATTTCTGACACTGAGTGTTATAAATGGGCCAAGTCCTAGTTTTGGAACTTTAATTTCCCCTGCATTAAATGTAGGGGGGTGGGTTGGGGTAGGTTTTATGTAAACAGTTTACTGTGATGTATTAGGACTGGTTGGAACTATTTTTTTTTCAAGCTGCGACTTTGACTTATTAAATCTAATGTTTTCTTTTATTCTCTTATTCACAGACAACTCTGTAAGTTTAGAGATTTTTGATTTACAGTGAGGACCAGGAAATTCAAAAATAGTAAGACCACTTTTAGGCTCAAGTCATGACTTTAAATAGTCCAATAAACATGAGATACAACAATTGTCTAATGTAAAGGAATCCATTGTTTTATAAAACTATTTGCTTTGTAACAACATAAAAATCGTTAAGTATTGGAATATTGTCGTCTTTCTATTCCACAGTTTTCTGGTTCTCACTGGTTATTCCAAAATAAGAATTGAAGAAACCGGCCGAACGCATCTCCCTCAATAGTTAAAATCGAGAAAAGGAATTGAGATTTTGCTGCAATCTCGAATTTTCTAATCCTTATATCTAAGTAACCTGATGGTGGAAACCCTTGATATTTTAAAGTTAGGCGATTTGATCTAACAGAATTCATAGTTTGAAATATCTAACGTCTACGAAATTGGGTTGCAAAGATATAGGTATTAGTAAATCCTAGTTTGTGACAAAGACTCAATTCCTTTCTCTTTCTATTTTGAAAGTCATATATGTTAAAGATTCAATTTGGAAACTATCAAGATCTCTTTTTGAGTTAATCAGAAGTTGTGATTTAAATGTTTAGTCTCCAGTCTTTATTTTCCATTGTTTAAAGTTAGAACCAACATGGTGTGTTTTGTCCAAGTGATCTTTTGGTGTTAAAATGAGACTCAGTTCAAAAACACCTGCAATTCAAAGCTTATTTAAATCTTAAAACAAAATTTTAATAAAAACTTCAATTCTTTCAGCTCTGCGCTCAACCCCTTCCTCTACTCTGCTCAAAACAAAGAAATGCGGGAAGCACTCTGTAAACTTTTTAAAACCAGAAATGCGAGCTCACGACTTTCAATTTACCGACGGAAGAAACTGCCTGACAACGAGAAAATGGTTCTAGCCGCCTCCAAGCTGTGTTCTAAAAGTTGCAATGGTTCTGCCTGTATGTCCCGGGTTCCTCCTCAAGTTCAACAACAAAATGTTTTGAAACATTCGCAAAATCTTTGCAACTGCCAAGCACTAGAGTGCCAGGGAACCATTGTTTAACATTTTTTAGAAAATTATTATGTTTAATTTTTTATATTTTTATGGAAATTTTAAATTCTAACGAAATTGATTATCTCCCTCAAACTCTATTTTCATTTTCCTAATATCTTTGCAATCTGATGTCGTAAACCTTTCATCGTGTAAACTAAGAATTCTGTTGAATCACACTAGGTTTATAATATCAAATGTTTACACCATCAGGTTGCAAAGATTATAAAGTTTAGAGCTGGAGGCGAGTAATCAATTCCTTTGCACGAGTAAGAAGCATTGTATAATAAAAAAATCATAAAAAGATTAAAAAAGATATTATTGTGATGTTTCCTCAAAAAGCGATTTAGCACAAAAAAATTATTCCTTTGAAAAAATACATGTTTAAGAAGAAACATGATGTTTGAAATACACTGTTGTTTATACCATCGAAAAGAACATACTTTTTAATTTTATCTTAAAAAAGGACAAGGTGTGCAGAAGGTTTTTATCTTAAAAAACGTGATAAGATAATCTTTTTAAGCTTTAGACTCAACACTTTTGAAAAAAGAAGTAATACTAATTTCTCAAAAGAGATTTCTCAAAATTACATTTTTAATTAAAAAATTTTCCCTCTTCATGATTTCATCTTTGTCCCTGCAACGAACTACGGAAATTCAAAATAAATTAATTGTTTTGATAGCCTCGAGATGGAATCTTTTATTTGGGCAGAATTATGCTCAATTTTTATTTCGCCAAAAAACCTTAGTCTGGCAAATCATTTTTATAGAAATCTTTTTTGATCCAATAATTCACATCTTTAATCAGAAGTCGTCCGTGTCGTCTCAAGAAAGTCCGAAACTTGTATGCTAAAACCAGTCCTGACGAGCTAAATTGTTTTTCTCCCCATTTAAAGATTGGAATTTCTATCCATTTTTACTGACTAAAACATATTTTCACTGGAATTCATAGCATCTGTTAAAAATATCACGGTTAGGCTCAGTTCGCCACCAACATTTTTGACCTCAGCTATGATGAACAGAAACTACAGGGTTACCCACAAAGGATGAAACTTCAGAGACGACTGTAGGAAATTTATATTCTCTGTTTCCGTACAATTGTGTCTTGCTTAACTAAAAAATTTAATCAGCCATGTCATGACTTTACCACAGCCAGAGGACGCAATTTAACCTTGGTATAGTCATATCTTTATAAAGTTTTAAGTCGTCTTTACAGTCTCATCCTTTTCCCTATATACTTTGCTTGTCTGTTTGTTTGTTTGTAACGTCAAAACGGCTGAACCAATCGGGTCCAATTTTTTTGTGGTACCTTACATGATCCCAAAGAAGGTTTATGGATAATTTGAATTGAACAAAAAATTGCCTTAACAAAGTATCAATTTTTAAAATTCGCTATAAAAGAGCAACAATTAAAAGTTAAAATCAAAGATTGGCACGAAGCGCCCTGGCAGCCTATTTCTCTATGTTTGTGTTGAAAGAAGATATAATATTTAATTATAAAACAAATTTCCTCTCACTCACTTACTCAATCAATTTAAAGTAATATTTTGCCAACCTACCACCAACCAACCACCACCAACCACCAACCACCAACCAACCACCAACCAACCACCATTAACCACCAACCAACCACCATCAACCACTAACCTACCACCACCAACCTCTTAAATATTTTTTTTTTCAAGCACCAATGTTAACTGTTTTGTATTTGTTAAAATTTATATTGTGAATTTGTAAAGATGACAAGAAAATGTGATAATCTTTATAATTATATACTAGGTGGAAACATTTAGTATTTGTGTATATTTTCAAAAACAAGGATTGTATCTGTGTTCATTTAATCTATTTCTACGTGATTATGGCATTCAAATTATCAGGTTACGAGGATATGTAAGAGATACCAGTGAGAGATATAAAGCATGAATGAGGAATTCCTGCCAAGGAAAGGGGGGGGGGGGTAGCCACTGCTAAAGTGCTATAAAAGTGTGTGGTTAATATATTTAGTATTCTCTTAAACTGAAATATCAAACATTAAAATAGAATTATTAAAAGACAGATGTGGTGTAGAGCTTGGTGTTGAGTATGCACTATATGTATTATGTACACGTATACTGTATATTCTTTATACAGGGTTACCCACAAAGGATGAGACTTCAGAGACGACTGTACAGATTTTATACTGTCTGTTTCCTTACATTTACTATTCCTTGCAACTGTAAACTTGTTTCGGACAACTCATTAATTGAATAAGCTGTTAACAGATTGGATGTTTGGCTGAAGACTGAATTTAACCTTGGAATCGTCATTTTATTTGAGTTTAAAGTCGTCTTTATAGTCTTATTCTTTGTGGGTAACCCTGTATAAAGCTGCAGTGATGTATTTAACTCTCGCTTCCTAATTTCATGTTCTTAATGTTATTATGTGCAATCCTCAATGTACTTCTACAAGTTTTGTCCTTATTTTGCGTCCTCAACGTGCTTCCTCAATGTATGTCCTCGATGTGCATCATCGATGTGCTTCCAATTCTTTGTTCTCAATATGCGTTCTCAATGTATGTCCTCTATGTGCTTCCTCAATGTGTTTCCTCAAAGTTTGTCCTCAATGCGTGTCCTCAATGTATGTCCTCGATTTGCGTCATCAATGCTTCCTCGATGATTGTCCTCAATGGTTGTCCTCAATGTTTGGCCTCAGTATTTCTCCTCAATGATTGTCCTCAATGTTTGTCCTTGGTGTTCTTACTCAATGTGTTTCCTCAATGTGCTTCCTCAAAGTGCTTTCTCAATGTGTGTCCTCAATGTGCGTCCTCAATGTGTTTCCTCTATGTGCGTCCTCAATGTGCGTCCTCAATGAGGTAATAAAATTTGAAAATGGCGTGGAAATAATTGGTAAGAAATTCTAAAGAAGCTCTTTACATAAATCTCACTAGAAGAAGATGATTCACTTGGTGTACTGTCCCATTGGCAGTGATTTAGTGGGAAACTATACTGTACATTGTATAACTTGCTCTATCTATCTAATCTTCGGTCTGGTACTTAAAATAAACCGGAGGTTTCAGTGTCCTGGGTTCTTTTTATTGCTAAAACGTTCCTAAGGGACTGTATGAGTAATTTTAAGTGACCCTCCATGCAAAGATGGCAATGCTCGACTTTCAACCGTATCATTAAAAGCTTTGTCTGCTCATAAAGGAATTAGATATCACTGTTCATAATTGTAAAACCGGATTATTTTCAATTATGGGTTCTCTACAAAAGTGACTGGCACATTTCTGTAACTGTAAACAACTTTAAAACATACAGGAGCTATCTGAATAAAATACTTTAAAACCTAGAAAAACGACAACATCTTCCACATTAGTGCTCATATAAAGGTTTCAATTGTTCCGTTGTGAACCGGACATTTCCATCGCGATTTCGTTGAACGATAGCGCGAAAATGAACGAACGAAATTCGTTTATTTTTGTTCAATATTTTCGCGAATTTCAATGCATTTTCGAATCTTTCCATTTTGCATCACGAAGATTGTATTTTAGCGAGAAAAAAAGAAGATTTTGAAGGAAAGGTCGAAAATTTGGCGATTTTCGGGTAAAGGAATTGAGTCTTTGCAACAAACTCTGATTTTATAATCCTTATATCTCTGCAACCCAATGTCGGAGACCTTAGATATTTCAAACTACACATTCTGTCAGATCAAATAATCTAAGTTTGAAATATCAAAGGTTTACAACATCAGGTTGCTCAGATAAAGGGATTGGAACATCGGAGTTTGTTGCAAAGACTCAATTCCTTTCGAACGAATTTCGCGATTTTCACGAAAATTTAAAACAAATTTCGCGATATTTTTTTGACGAAAACTTTCGCGAAAATGAACGAAAATTTTCGTTTTCGTTCACATTTTCGTTGGCGGAACGAACTTTTCGCGAAAGAGATTGAATGAAAATTTGGAAAACCTATTTCATAATTGCCCCATTTTACCAATATCTATTCCGACAAATGTCACCTTTAGTGTAGTGCAAAATTCGGACAATTATCCTGACGGGACCATTGCTATACACCAGGTTCCAGGTTGTGACATAATTCTTATTTTTGACAAAGGAATTGAGTCTTCACCACCACAATTTTCTATTCCCTTTATATTTGCAACCCAATATGTATTAGATATATCAAACTAAGAATTATTTTAGTTCAAATAATTGAATTTAAAACATACAGGAGCTATCTGAATTATATACTTTAAAACATACAGGAGCTATCTGAATTAAATACTCTAAAACATACAGGAGCTATCTGAATGATATACTTTAAAACATACAGGAGCTATCTGAATTAAAAACTTTAAAACATACAGGAGCTATCTGAATTATATACTTTAAAACATACACGAGCTATCTGAATTAAATACTCTAAAACATACAGGAGCTATCTGAATTATATACTTTAAAACATACAGGAGCTATCTGAATTAAATACTCTAAAACATACAGGAGCTATCTGAATTATATACTTTAAAACATACAGGAGCTATCTGAGTTATATACTTTAAAACATACAGGAGCTATCTGAATTATATACTTTAAAACATGCAGGAGCTATCTGAATTAAATACTTTAAAACATACAGGAACTATCTGAATTAAATACTTTAAAGCATACATGAGGTATCTGAATTAAATAATTTAAAACATACAGGAGCTATCTGAATTAAATACTTTAAAACATACAGGAGCTATCTGAATTATATACTTTAAAACATACAGGAGCTCTCTGAATTAAATACTTTAAAACCTAGAAAAACGACAGCATCTTCCACATTAGTGCTCATATAAAGGTTTCAATTGTTCCGTTGTGAACCGGACATTTCCATCGCGATTTCGTTGAACGATAGCGCGAAAATGAACGAACGAAATTATTTTTGTTAAAAATTTTCGCGAATTTCAATGTATTTTCGAATCTATCCATTTCGCATCAAGAAGATTGTATTTTAGCGAAAAAAAATAAGATTTTGAAGGAAAGGTCGAAAATTTGGCGATTTTCGGGTAAATTTCGAACGAATTTCGCGATTTTCACGAAAATTTATAACAAATTTCGCGATATTTTTTTTGACGAAAACTTTTGCGAAAATGAACGAAAATTTTCGTTTTCGTTCAAATTTTCGTTGGCGGAACGAACTTTTCGCGAAAGAGATTGAACGAAAATTTGGAAATCCTATTTCAGAATTGCCCCATTTTACCAACATCTATTTCGACAAATGTCACCTTTAGCGTACTCCAAAATTCGGACAATTATCCTGACGGGACTATTGTTATACACCAGGTTCCAGGTTGTGACATAATTCTTATTTTTGACAAAGGAATTGAGTCTTCACCACAAACCCTGATTTTCTATTCACTATATTTTTGCAACACAATATCTAGATCTTGGATATTTCAAACTATGAATTATTTTAGGTCAAATAATTGAAAATCCAAGGTTTACACCATCAGGATTAATAGATAAAAGGATGAAAAATTTGAGTCTGGGCAACGACTCAAATCCTTTATTTTAAACAAAAAAGGCAGTTTAAATATCACTTCAGATGTAAAAAGATAGAGAATTTAAATATCTTAAGTATAAATTAAAAAAATACGAGATTTGGAATTTTACAGACAACTTCTAAATATTCAGTGTAGTGTACAGTTTGCAGTACATACAAGAAACTTAATTTTACAAAGATGACATGCTAGAAAAGATTTAATAATAATGAATCGACAAATTCTGAAAATAAATCTAGTCGGGATTTCAGATATATGCTCTAGAGCAGGAAAATTAGAGGAAAATCATAATTGCAAAACGTTGTGTAACAATAGAGGTACACGATTCTATTCAAATAAAAGAAAAAAAAGTTCAGTTAGTAATTGTAAGTTCAAATACTTCTAGAAATTATAAAATCCTGCATGTGAGAAATTTAAAAAGGTTACGAGTTTTTAAAGTTAAATTCAGTAAAAATTATTCTTCTTTATTTACAATTTACCTATGATGCACGTAGTTAGAAAAGAGTTTAAAATTCGTAGTAGTATCTTAATTGTATCTTTGAAATCATAAAAAGTTAAAAAAAAAAAAAATATGCAGAAAACACACTGGATTTATTCGATTTACTACCGTTTTTACAATTTTTTAAAAGGTCTGAACCTTTTTTTGAAAAAAGTCTTTTTATACAAACACTAGTAATGTTGTGTTAAAGTTTTGAAATCCGATGGAAAACTTCTTATATCCGTAAAAACTCTTAAAATTGGTATTTTAAACACGAATCAAAGACCAAACTAATACGCCCCCACATCTTTAAATAATGAGTGTTAGAATGTATTTACATATCTAGATTATCCTAAATCTGTTGTAATTTCTTGTAAAAAAAGCTATAAAGTATATGTTTTCCCCCCAAAATAGTTCTCTTTAACAAAGACGACATTATAAATATATTGCGGGTTTACAGGATCCATTAAAGGATAAATATGTAAACGGGAAATGTATTTATAAATTGAGATCATTATAAATCTATGCAAGACACAATTGATTCAATGTTTGTAAATGAAAAGATTATTGTAAAATATTTATTTTGTCCATTTTCACCATAAAACACAAGACATTGTAAGATACGTATTAAGACTAGAACCAGTCGAACCGCCCCCATGACCTCATCGAGGGGGGAAGGCAAGCTACCATGAGCCACTAAAATTTTTACTTACATGCCGATTTAAGCAATAATAAAAAGTCTGTCTCATTAAGCTAGAACAATTCAAATCCACATGCAATTAGATGATTTGAGGGGTGTGGGGGTGATGGGGCTATGGGGGCTCAGCCCCCTCTGAATCAGTAAAATCTATGATTTCTCCCGCCCCTGGAAGAAATAAAATTAAACCCCCCGGCTTATGGACAAAGTCCTGAAAACGCCCCTGCAATTCAGGCAACTATTATTTTTAAAACTTTTCATATTGCAAATTTAATGTTTTTAAGTTGTATTTTTAAAAACTCATCAAAGTCAAAGGAAAAATATATTTTTTCTAAAACTCATATCTAAGATTTATTTTGAAATGATGATGATTAACATTATTCTCTTTGCACAGAAAAAAACTCTTCTGACCATAAGATTAAACTAAATTTTGGAAAAAATCTTCTTAAACACAAGATGGACCATTTCTTTTTATCATAGTTACACGACAATTATTGGAATTCTCTACATACATCTTTGCATTTTATTATTTAATCTTTGACTAGTTGATTTTGTTAGACATATGAAATGCATCAGGTTGCAAATATTTGCGGATTACACATTTAGGATTGAAGGCAAGTAAGTAGCTAGTTCTTTGACATGGTCAATATTTTCATTGCCGAAAAAACAGAAAGTTGTGGCATGGCAAAGTGAATTGTTGTGGTTCAAGGCCACCAGATCACAGAAATTGTCCCATGTAATAAGAAATACTTGTGGCTCAAAACCATTTAGCCACCCCCCCCCCTCATAATATAATTTTTAAAAATGGTAATATCTTCTAATTTTCAGATTTTTTAGATAATCTTTTTTAGAAACTGTTGATGTTAACCTTCACTCAAACGGTGACATTGCTGATTCACAACAGCACCCTTTAATGCTTTTTCTAATTAAACATGAGAATAATAATCCAATTTTCCTATCTTGAAAGTCATATTTTTTTAAGGCAGAGAGAATAAATGAAATTTACAGAATTCAATACGTTATAAGATACAGAGCGTCCCTTATCATATAAGATTATCTCCAAGCTTTAACACCAAAATAAAACCATAATACTCGAAAAAACTAGTATTTTCCGCAAGAAAATTCTTATATTAGCCTTATTTAAGTTTTCAAAATGATTCATTCTTCTTAAATTTTCTGAATAATCCCAAAAATCGTAATTTAGACCAATTGACGATCTATTATGGTGTGGGACACCCTGTAGATNGAGGTACACTGAATTTTTGAAAATTCAAAAGTTACTACCATTTTACATGGCAGTTGAGACCTATGCACGTAGTGAGAAAAGAGTTTAAAATTCGTGGTACTATCTAAATTGTATCTTTGAAATCAAAAGTTACTACCGTTTTAACAAAGAAAAAAAAAGTTACTCACAAATTTTTGGCAAAAAAAGGTCATTGAGATTCTATTTCTTATTGATTTTTTAAAATTTTTTCTTTTATAAAAAAATAAAATATGCACAAAACACACTGGATTTATTCGATTTACTACCGTTTTTACTAATTTTTAAAAGGTCTGAACCTTTTTTTTGAAAAAAAAGGCTTTTTATACAAACACCCGTCCCTTTGCACTCAAATTCTGAACGAAAAATCGGCTTTTTATCCGGCCACAGATGTCTTTAAAAAGTAAGACTAATACTAACGAATAGCTGATAGGCTGTTTAGTTTACCCTGAAATTACCCAAACAAGTGAACGGTCCCTTTAATTAAATAGATTTCTGGTAACGTTTTAGCGGCTTTTTTTAGATTGACACGAAAGGATGTACAGATGACGAAAAGCGGGAAGTACGTCAAAATTATTTTGAAAATCTTGAAAAAGTTTTGAAAGTGTGAGAAAACCTCTCGAATATCGTATCAAAACTCAAATATGCATTATAAGATTTAATATTAGATTTAAATTTGAAGAAAAGTCTATGAAGTCACCATATTTGAGCTTTATCTGAAGGAGTCTAATACCTTTAAAGCTTTCTCTTAATGTAAGGAATTTAAAGCTTTAAAATAAAACCTGGAGCGGTGATATTTTAAAATAATAAAATTGTAAAATATCAGCAGTGTCAATCTGAAGGATTTTAAAATTCTTCTAAATTGTGTTTTTTTTGTATTTGTTTGGTTTAAAATATAGAAAAAAATGTCCTCTCAAACATCCGACCTTCCCTATTCTTTTTGGACCCCGAGTTTTCAAATAATTTGTCCGAACGCCATCCTTTTTTCGTTTGTTTCTAATCATACTCTCTTTCAAAATGTGTCAACACTTCCTTTACATGTTCCTACCTCTTCCCAGATGATTTCGCTTTCTAGAAACTTCGGAATGTTAAAGATAATTGAGACTAGGGTTACAGGAACAAGGTATCCCAGCAGACGTCGTCTAAAATATATTTCGTTTATTTTTATTTTTGACACATGGTTCCTCAAACATATGTAGATGATTGAGAATAGGCTTCACATTATGGACTATGTATACAAGCAATCATCGTCTAAAATAATTTTTTTATTTTTTATTTTTAAACAGAGTTTCTCAAAAACATTTCGAGACTTGAACCAGTGTTACATGGTTCAAGTTTACATGGTTCAAGTTTACATGGTTCAAGTTTACATGGTACAAGTTTACATGGTTCAAATTTACATGGTTCAAGTTTACATGATTCAAGTTTACCAACAATTACGTAGTTTACTTTTTTCAGAACTTCAATACATGTGAACCATTTTACCAAATCTGTTTCATAAAAACTTTTTTTTTCTAAGACTATCAATCTTAGCTCTCCTACTGCAGTAGCTAGTATTTATTGTTTTAAATGACTTCAGATTTAATCCTTTGAATTTTTTATTTATTATTCCTATCCTATATAGACAAAGCAAAATGGCATTTAAAAATTGAAATGATAATGTAAGCTTAAAACTTTAAAAATTCTTTCTTTTACCCAAAACATGTGTTCAAAAGAAACCTCGGAAGATGTGTGTTCACAAAAATTGTACTACAATTAAACATACTGCACTTTGCGACATCATTTGTCCATAGTGGAAGGAAAACATAATATGTCCTAGGATTCATTAGTCCCAAGTAAAATACCACACGGAATCAACAGTTATGTCCTTATACCAGTAAGCTGTGACTTTCAATCACAATTCTACCAAATAAACATAATTTGTTCGCCTATAAATCTCTTTTGTTACATTTTTTAGCATATGCCTTTTAAATGAAAAAGTAAAAAAACTCCGTAACAAAACGCGATTGAATTCAAACCAAACACTGTGAACTAAGTAGGAAAATATAGAAACAACTTATATGACATATATTGCATGATCTCATGATTCATTAAAACTGGTCCAAGGAACCCCTCAATCTTTGTTTACAAAACAAGTGTACTGCATTATCTCCGCCTGAGTAGAAAAGAATGTGTTTACGCATATCTAATTTGATTAGATTTAAAGATAATATTTTATTGGAAATCTTGACAATCTCAATATTTTGTGGCTGATCTATGGTCTAAAATTATTTTTACCGTCATTGATTAATTATTTTTAGATTAATTTATAGATTCGCTTAAAGGGACTGTCAACGTAACTTCAAAAGTGCAGTTTTCAATCTTTGCAAATCCCAACATATTCAGTTACCCTTTAAACCGTTATCTGAGTAACAATAAGGAAAATTTTCTTCTGTGAAAAAAGATTAATTCTGTAAATTTTCTTCCTTGTCTCTGCAGCGTAAATCAGGTAGGGAGACACTCCGCAATTAAAAACTATAAATCTTTAGATAAGGTAACAAGGATATGTCAATTACTTTCGTTTAGTCAAAGATTAGAAGTATAAACGGGTATGTAAATCTTTAAATGTGAGGTTCTATTTAAAAAACGAAGAACTGGATCAAATAATGATGCATAAAAATCGTCATTTAGCCCCGTTCAATTCTTTTCTGAAAGAAGATTTGAGAAATGCTGAATCAGAAGTTAATCAGCGAATTCTTATCAAATCAGCAGCTGAACGAAAGAACTAACGAAATTGAGTAAAGTAATTTAGTAAAGAAGCTTCAAAACTAATTTTAGAAAATTTTAGCATATTTTTATATTAAACATTTTGTTATTATAGAAATATTCTTATTTTAAGCAGTGAATACAAATACAAGATAGAAATAATAAAACAATTTCTGATCAAATCTCATCATTCATTAAGCAATCATATAAGATGTTTTATATGTGATTAAAAATGATAGATTGCCATGCTTGTCAACAGAATTATAAATAATAATAGAAAAGAACAGAAATGTTTGGGATTTCTATAATAATGACAAATTTGCTTCATACGACTGAATACTGTACTTTAAATTAACAAAGATAATAAAAAATTTCTAAATAATATTAATCAAATTATACTCTTTTAATGAAATATAATGAGGATATTAAATAATTCAAAATGTTCTAAAAAGTTCTTATTTACTAGTACTATTAAAAGTAAATTTTTATTTACAGATTCTGGAGTTGTACTAATTTTTCTATTTGGAAATAGATTATTTGCAGTAGAAAAAATAAATAAAAATAAATTTCAATTTTTTGTGACAGAAACACGACGATATCTTCACGTTGTTAGTCTGATAGATAGGAAATGGGTACCGTCGCAAATCGGACATATAATACTACTTTTAGTTGAAAAACACTTCTGTAAGTGTACAGTCCCATTAATGAAAATAATAAAATTGTTAACGACGACAATATATTACCTATGGGTGGTGGCATCCGTCATAACCCTATTATAATCCATCGGATGGTAAACAGCGATATATCGTTCTATCGCAATAGCCATCGTCATATAGATCGAACCTGCACCAACACTATCTTTAGGCATTACAAAACAGATTTTAATTGAATTTTCTCTTTAGGACTTTTTTGTTTGAGTATAAATGCATTTTCTTTTAAAAGTTTAATTCTTCCTAAAAAGTTTAAAGTGATGTTTGTCCAAAATGTAAACTTATTAAACACTGGGAAAGAAAGTTAAAAATTAATAAAGTTTAAAGGAAAAGTGTCCAATTTTACTGAAATGAAAAATTTGAAATTAAGAAACAAAAATCTGAAAGAAACTTTTAAAATAAATGTTTCTGGAAAGTTTGAATTAAAGGAAAGTTTCCAAAATTCAAAAATTTATAGGGAAATAATTCTGGAAAATTTAAATGTTTCCAAAAATTCAAAAGTAAGGTAATTTTTACAAAAAATTCTAAAAAGATCAAAAGTTTAAAGGAAAATATCTTATGAAAAATGAAAAATAAAAGGAATGTTGCCAAAGATGATGGGTTTCCTGTTAGTGAGATAGAGTTGAGAGGGTACAGGAAGTACGGGAATGAGTACAGATGTACTCTACTCTCTAAACCAAACCGTCTGAAATCAAAAGAAATTAATTTTTCTTCAGTACAATTTTAAAATTGTACTGTGTAAAATGTTACTTCAAAGGTATTTTTTTTATGCACTTGTTGAAAGCTAACATAGCTGGCAAGCTCTGAAGCTAAAATCAATGAGAATATTAACAAGTTCTTCTTAACAGCTAGCTAAAAAACAAATGCTTTATAGTTCTGAAATGTACATATCTAAGGCTACAAAAAGTATAAAATAGTTTGCAACACTTCAAAAACATTGACGCTGCCCGGTTTAGAAAATTGGTGCAACTTTTCAACGCAGGACCAACCTGAATTTGTCAATGAGAAAAAAAAACACAAAAATGTCAAAAAATGTCATGGCTAGACTTCTAAAGTTGCTCCCTCTGAAGGTATAAAATTTTAGGATAAAAGTGACGTAACAGTTTAACAACATGTCAAATTCAAATTGAAAAGTTCAATAATTAAACATTTTTGATTGGTCAAAATCAAATCTAAATTCCATTCGAGATAAACTTAAATTATTTTTAATAAAATTCTTTCAAATTATTTTTAATAAATTTCTTTCAAATTATTTTTTATAAAATTCAAATCTTTTATCGCATACATTTTATCATACAGGTTAAATAAAAAACTGAGATTATTGATGTTTTGCACAATTTTTTGAAAATTTATGTTTAATCCGGGTTTTGGGTGTAAAAACATTGAAATGTGACAAAAACATCTAAATAGTTTTCGAAAATCCGTGAAACCAACTTTTTGTGAAAAAATTAAATTTCCTTTTAAAATCAGCAAGAATTACTTCCTTTCATGTACCGGGCCAAATTTTAACTATCCAGAGCTGAAAACTTTAGAATGGGATATCCTTAATCCCGATCGGTTAATTAATCTGGAGATTAATAACAAGAGAAGAACAAGCATTATTTAATCTGGAGATTAAGAAAAAGAGCAGATCAAGCATTGATCTCGATATCCACCATTCTAAAGTTTTTAGCTCAGGGGAAGTAGTACAGTTTTTTTCAGTTCCTTTGTAGAATTGTAACACTTTTTGAAACATTTCAATTTCAATTGGAAGCGAACAGAAACGTTTAAAACTTTGTGAAAAAACTTTTTTTTATTACCCTGTATGCTGGGACGAATAAATCTTTAATACTTTCCAGTTAATTAAGTATGAAAACGACAAAACGATCCGCGGCCCATTTTTATAGGGCCTCACTTGAACTTAAGGGAGATTTATGGGGAGGTTTATGGAAGGTTTATGGAAGGTTTATGGAAAACGGAATTACACATTCATGCCACTAGAAGTCTAAACAAACAATTTTTAAATCCACCGATGAAAACAGAAAAATCTGCAAAATCCTATGTTGCTGTTGTTCAAAAATGACGAACAAAATGATACAATTTTTAATAAAATCAAAATTAAAAAGTTCAAAGAAGGCAACTTAATCTAATAAAATCTGTTTGAAGTTCATCTGATCTTCACAGTTTCAGAAAATGCATAATCAATCTTTTCTATCGAATCTCAGTCAATCTGCTGATTGATCCTTTCTATAAAATCTTGCAAATGTAGAGTTGTTGTAGAGGTGAAAATAAACCCGGATATTTACAAAATATTTATTTAGAAAACTTGTTTTCCAAAACATTTTCCGCCTTAGTAAAATGATTCGACAATTTTAATGAAACACCATTAACCATCTGAATATCCGTAGTACAATGGTACTTTTTTAATGATGGTTTTAGACAAACCTTCAGTAAAAACAGGAGATTGTTACTTTAACATCAGGAAAGTTACATAAAAAATCATGAAACAACCCAAATTCTATTTATGTTTGGGAGTATATATGGCACTGTGGACCAGCCCACTTTTGTTGCAGAAAACTCACATGGTCATACTACATACTGGGTACACTAGACGGGCTGGTACGAGTAAACAATAGGCCGTTATTCTTGTACTGGTTTATGCAACGATTGTTCTCATGTGATTGAAAAAAACGTAATCGGTAACCCAAAAAGCTGGCATAAAAAAGCTTGCAAAAATAATAAGTAACCTTAGAGCCTCTAGCAGCATGGTGGCGAGATAAATAAGATCGAAGGTGGCAAGAGTTGCCAGCAATTGGTTGAAGGAGTTACTGAGATCTCTTCTGCTTAGCAGGAATATTGATACAGCATTCCCGATACATCCTATTATTATTCTTATTATTATTATTATTATTATTATTATTATTATTATTATTATTATTATTATTATTATTATTATTATTATTATTATTATTATTATTATTATTATTATTATTATTATTATTATTATTATTATTATTATTATTATTATTATTATTATTATTATTATTATTATTATTATTATTATTATTATTATTATTATNCTAGATACAGACGCTTTTTTGTAGAACATCGTTTATGGAGCATTTTCATTTTTACACAAATCTAAAATTTAATTGGGAAAATTTGATATTTCATCTATGCCCTAACGTCGCCATATTTAAAAAAAATGTATTTATTTTCAAGGATCGGACACTTAAAAAAAATAATATTGAAAGGACGAGGATTTCGATGTGGTTCGGACGAGAAAATAATGAGAATGTGGTTCGGACTAGAGATTGATGTGGTTGGCCTTCCTCCCCTCGTAAGATAAAGGATAACCTGCCAATCCAGGGGGAGGGATGAAAGATGAGATTACCCTTTTATTCAATAACATTTTTGTTCATTCATCATTATTATTTATTTACTCTTTTTCTAGAACTTTAATTCTCTTCCGTTACATGATTCTTTAATTGGCCGCAAACTTAACCAGAGTTTTAATGATGGAGATATTTATGTTTCAGGTAAAAATTGATAATATCGCGCTACGGCTTTTAAAAAGGAAAGAATTATCTGATAAAGTGTTAATGACTAATAAAGTGTAATGTTACAAAAATAAAGTGTTTTATATGAATAATAAAGCGTAATGTTACAAAAATAAAGTGTTTTATATGAATAGTAAAGTGTAATGTTACAAAAAAAAAGTTTTTTATATGAATAATAAAGGGTAATGTTACAAAAATAAAGTGTTTTATGTGACTAATAAAGTGTAATGTTGAACTAGTAAAGTGTATTATATGACTATTAAAGTGTTTCATACAGTGATAACCAGAAAACTCTGGAAAGGAAGAGGACTTTTAGGCTTACATTATGACACTAAATAGTCTAATGGACATGAGACACAGCAATTGTGGAGTGTAAACAGACCCATTTTACCTCAAATGCACTTTAGTATTTGTGTAATGTCGTCTTCATATTGCATTGTTTTCTGGTTATCACTGAATGACTTGTAAAGTGTAATGTTATACTTATTATGACTAATAAAGTATAAATACCAAATAATAGTGTTTTATAAACCTAACAACGTTTTAAATTACACCTATTAATGTTTTTAGTGTATTGTATACTTGTATACAAATAATGGACTTATAGAAGACCACCTAATTCAGTGTTATACATACCTAACAAACAGATGATAGACTGTAGGACCCCCTCTAACCAGAAGCTGAGCCCGCTCATGAGCCTCTCCTCCTGCAAACTTGAGATAGGACAGGTGCTGGATATATTCTCCATACTGTACAGTTTTACATTCAAATTTATTACTTGTGTACAACTGCATGTTGGGGTGTGTCTAAAATTCAAAAATAGACAGATGAAAACCTCAGTCATATATGACAAGCCATGGAAAAACCTCAGTCATATATGACAAGCCATGGAAAAACCTCAGTCATATATGACAAGCCATGGAAAAACCTCAGTCATATATGACAAGCCATGGAAAAACCTCAGTCATATATGACAAGCCATGGACAGACAAAGTAAAAATCCCTTTTTAAATGTTAAACTTTTCCTTTTAATAAAATATTGAATTATTACAAAATATGGAGATGAAATTAATTCCAGCGGTACAATGATGGGAGTGTTGGAGGTGTTCAGAAAAATGTTTAAACCCCATGGAAGGTGTTGAAGATGAGAGAGAATACGAAACGAGAAGAATTTACCTACCAACAGTTGAACTTAAAGATTAAGGATTTATTTTAATGGTGAGGTCTTAAGTTCAAAGTTATTCGAGGATACATTTTTCAAAGCATTAAAATAATTTTTCATTAGCTTTAATAGTTTAGTATTCAAATTTCGTTTTAATTATAGAATTAGATTGAAGATTAGTGGATTGCATTAAAACTTTCTCATATGATAGAATAGCACATTTTTAAAGGTTCAGAAAATACTCCTTTCTTAATAATATTGTTACAAGAAAAATTCAGGACAAACATTAAAAAATTTGTCCTATAAAATTTAGAATAGTTAAAATCTTGATCCAAGAGAAATTAATACATAATAAAATTTTGTAAATGGGACCGTTTTGCCTTTATAATACGTAGTAAAGTAAAAACATTCTAAACTTAACCGATTAACAGAAGGGGTTTTACCGGATCTCCTGTTTACGGTTTACGAACGGAAATTATTCGGAATGTTTTCCCATTTCTATTATGGAAAAGGTGCCGGTATTCCTAAACAATTTCCCTCGGTAAACCCAAAATTTCTAGAACGTTACGGAAAAAATCTGGGGAAAAAAATTCGAAAAGTTTTTCCGGATTAATAAAACCATAGTTAAAAGTTTCACAGCGTGATATCGACAACTCGTTGTGGGCTTTCAGAAAACCTTATTTCTTATAATTGTAATATCATTGAGGTATTGGTAGGGGTAAAGGAATATTTTGCAATTTACAAAAGAGATTTTATGAAACAATGCTTTTAACAGAATTGCGCACTTCAAGAGAATAGAGGGATTACTATTAAGATAAAACTTGTCTAGGGTTTAATACAGAATTAGGGGATATACAAGCTTGTTGGGGAAATCAGAAAGTGGGAAAAATATAGAAAAGAAGAAAAATAAAAAGATAGATATTGCCAAGAGTCGATAAATTTTTATACGGCAAGAGTTTAAAAGAGATGGAAAATGTCGACAAGAGCTAAGAAAAGTCAATAAATGTTGGCAAAAGGCGACAAATATGGGCTAGAGTCGTATCATTTTGGTAAAATTCATACAAATACAGGCAACAGTGGACAAATATTGGCAAGAACTTTACACCACCACCCACCAGGTTGCACAGATATAAGACTAAAATCGCAGTTCCTTTGGAGTTCGGACAAAAAGGTGTGAAAAGAGTTTTATAACTAGTTTGAAAAAACATAGTAATATTTGAGCAAAAGAAATCATGAACATCTTGTTATATTCAGACAAAAATTCTATTTGGGATGAAAAAGGTGTTGGAAAGGTTTTAAAAAGTTAATGCATTTTTGTAAAAGGAAGAAATGTAGATTGTAGATATATATATGTGACTTTAATATCAGATATTAATATTGAAATGATTTCCTCAGATTCATTGCTAGTGGTTTGAGGGCTCTCACCGTTCACTCAGAATCAGAAATACCTGAAAATGAAATAGTCTTTGAATCAAAGCAGATATTTTGAAATCCATTTCAAATTTAAATATATCTATCTATTTATATAGATTTAAAGCTGTGAAAATTGAGACTGTAATGTACTTTATTATTGTATTAAGTATATTTAGAACTATTGTATGCATGGATTTTCCGTATAAGCAATAACTTTAACGTTTTTGCACATTTAACGCTTTTATATTTTCAAGAGAATCAATAGAATTAAATGCCAAAAAAATGCTTTATTTTTATTAAATTTCAACCAGAGTGAAAAGTATACAGTTATCATAACTTTGAAATATTTTATTATCTCAGATTTTTGAGAAGCCATTGACAGGCCAAAAAATATTGTTGGCAGGGTTGCATGCAATGTTATTCAACGAATTGACCTCCAACTGTAATTTACTACCGACGCGACGACGGTTAGCAAGCAAGATATGTTCTTTGGTGGATTCCTCGTTGCAATCTTGCTGCCCTCTTGGTTCCATAACTAGTTACGTTACACTTCACCTCTGGATATGAATATCGTTAAAAAATGCTAAGCATTGGTTCTTGCTCCCAAGGTCAATTTGTATTCGAACCGGACCGACCCGCCGCAGTGACGCTCAGCAATTAGCGGCCCGGCCCGGTTTCAACGTTAATGGTGCGGCCAGAATTTTACATTAGCCAATTTGACCTACTCCCCTAGCTTAGTTTACAGTGTTCCGGTTTGGGGCATAATTTCTTTTATATATTTTTACTTCAAAAAAGACTCATTTAAGCTACCCGAAAGCTGAAGACTAACTAAATTAATACATCGAAAAGCACCTTGACCAGAAAGTATTTTAAAAGATTTATGATATTTACTTGCAAATTTTGAAAATTATGAAAGGAAAATATTTAACTTTTAATGGGCTTATCCCATTCTAAACGATTTTTAGCTAAACTATATCCTTGATTACATTTCAATTGAATTAAAAAGACTTCAATGTATTTGAGGCCTCGACGGAACTTTCATTATTAAAATTCAAAAGAAAATTATGAATTTGAACAAGATGAAAAGGAATTTATTAGAGCAAAGCATGATAATTATGGTGTCTCAATAAGGCAAACTTCTGTAAAAAATACCTCCAGAAAGACAACTCAGGGTTAGACGTAATGAAGGACAAATTTTGGAACACATTTCTAAACATTAGACATTAATTTCACAGCGCTCGATCCCCCCCCCCCCTTCGCTTAGCATATATTCCCACCGCATAATTCTTTCGCATAAAAAAAAACAATAATAAGCATAAATATGAGCATAAAAATAAGCATAATAAACATAATAATAACACAACCACATACTAAAATAGGCGGGCTGGTATGAGTTCATACCACACAGGTCAATTCTTGTCCTGGCTCGGATCATGCTACATAAAAACTTATGTGCTTACTGCTGACAGTCTTAGCCTTAGTCTTCGGCATTTAAGCATATTCTATCTCCAGAGTTAGACCTACCGCCCTAAAAGGTCTTCAACCCAACCTTATGTAATGATAATAACATTTGAGTATTGTCCGGCTTTGTCCTGTTAAAGAATGGTCTCTCTACCGTTGTGTCCTATCATAATTAGTTCTGTCTACATGATAAGCACAGGATTACCCACAAAACATGAGACTTTATAGAATCTATAATGTTTCCTTGTATTTATGATTCCTTTCAACTGTAACCTTGTTTCTTTCTTTGCCAGATCCTTAAAAAAACATTAAAAAATCATATTTAACTTGTTAGTCAGAAAACTTAATTTAACCAAAAATTCGTCTTAGAATATAAGTTTCACATTCAGATAGTCTTTATAATCTCTCAATCTACTGTGGGTAACCCTATATCTAATAAGCTAATAAAACTGTTTTATATCAATTTATCTCTGGCTAATTTAACTGCACAAGGATAAATCTGCAAAGCCTCCAAGTTTTTGCGACATTTTGCTAAATCTGAAGTAACTGTAAGAAATCATGATGGATTTAAAGGAAAGCTTAGAGAAAGGTAATATGCTAACTAGACTTATGTCATAATTGTCACATTAGATTAAACAAAATAATCTTGGAGTTAATTGATGTTCGCTTATTTCTTTATCATAAATTAGATACAGTTTTAAAGGGAACCTTGTTATTCGAAGATCCCAGTTTATAAAATAAGGGTCAATTGAAATTACATTTACAGTCCCTTTAATTTAGGGATATTTCATGTGTGTTTCTCTTTACTGATAAATGTCAGATCTCAAAACGCCGAAACCGTTTTACCAAATTTTGAATTGGAGATTTAAGCGCTACGACAACAAAAATATTTCGATCATTTTGATTTATTTGGCTTAATATAATTGTAAAAAAGTCTTTTTATTCATTTTTAAAAAGCTGATTAATTGCCACAAATTGTCGAATCACTATATCTGTGTAACCTGTATGACCCTTTAAATTAGACTTTGACTAATTAAAATCTTTCCACAACAGGTTACAAAGAAATTAAATCTTGTGGTGAGTGATCGATTTTAAATTTAATTCAGCTGCCATGCGCCAAAATCTAATAATGACCCTGTTACGGTAAACTGGAGGTCCTTATTAAAAGTCCCAGTTTTAGCTTTAAACCCCATTTTTACTAAATGTATAGTTTCCGTATCTGTTTTTGTTACGTTTTTGTTGGGCTTTGTATTTAAAACATGTAAGCATATAAAAGATATATCTTACGCTATTTTTGACGGATTTTGAAAAAGATATATTCTGATACAGACAGGATGCCCTCGATTACAGTTAGTTTTACTTTGACCTGCTGTATTTTAACGTTTTAATTACCTTAAGGTTGTTCAAAGTCTGGTGAAGAAAACTTCATGGTCTAGGGCTGTTCAGTTCAGATGGTCTTAATAAGTTGGTTTTGAACTTGAAGATTATAGTTTGAACTCAAAAATCAGGTTGAACCCGGATATTAGTTTAAACTCAAGGATATTGAATTGGAATTAGTTCTCGGAGATTGGTTTGAATACGGGAGATTGGTTTGAACTTGGTTTGTTTGATTGAGACTAGTTTAGAGACCGTATAGTTAGTTAAAAGGCGGCTGTTTCCCTCGGAGTTTTAGTTCAAACTAACCGGGTTCTTTTCTCCGTTCACACACTCAACCCGACTTCTCTCTCTCTCTCTNCTCTCTCTCTCTCTCTCTCTCTCTCTCTCTCTCTCTCTCTCTCTCTCTCTCTCTCTCTCTCTCTCTCTCTCTCTCTCTCTCTCTCTCTCTCTCTCTCTCTCTCTCTCTCTCTCTCTCTCTCTCTCTCTCTCTCTCTCTCTCTCTCTCTCTCTCTCTCTCTCTCTCTCTCTCTCTCTCTCTCTCTCTCTCTCTCTGGCTTTTTTCAAAGACTGGCTTTAACACCTATCTTGTTTGGAGTAAGGGTCAACCATCATCTCAACCGTTAAATGTTTAGATTCAAGCGTCAACCAGAATCTGGCCACTGTCTATTCCATCCATTATCAAGCATCCAGCGAAAACATTCAACTTTCAACCATTCACTGTTACCTTTAACCTGTCAACTATTAATCGTCAATTGCTTAACATTATTGCCAATCTTTAATTTTCCTTAAAAAACATTAAACTAGTTTTCAAGACATACATTAATATGTAAATGACTTATTTGCATAATATATATTCTTGATAATCTCGGTTCTCTAATCTTAGATTAGAAACATCCCAAGGGCAGCATATAATACATTTATCTAGATACACTGTGAAGATTTAGAAAACTTTAAACTTCCGCATAAAATATACCATCCATGTGATGAGGTATTCTACATAACAAAAATGTGTGTTTACTGTGATTGTTGAATATCACTGAATACTACGGTTTATTTCAAGTATCGGGCAGACTGTTAGACAGCTCATAGCTAGCTAGAGCAAGTAACAAGTTGCACAGTGAAAAGTTTTTTTTCAAAAGATTGTTGTAGTTTTGTCAGTTCAATTCTAACTGAAGATTCTATGAAATCACCTTGTAAAATATATATTTAAACATTTAAAAATAAGTAGAAGCCAAAGTTGATCTATAATGTCTTTTTTTAAATCATACCTTTTCAGGAAAATTTCATCTCTTTACATTTCTTTTATATGAAAAGTATTCTGAATCATCCAAATTAACCAAAAAACATCTGAATTGACTAAGAAATTGCAGATTTGGAATACAATTAACAATGAACTACAATCTGTAAAATTTCTCCTGTATTGTCAATCTACACATTTCTTGATCTACACATTTCTTGATCTACACATTTCTTGAACTACACATTTCTTGATCTACACATTGCTTGATCTGTACATTTCTTGATCTACACATTTCTTGATCTACACATTTCTCTAACTACACATTTCTTGATCTACACATTTCTTGATCTGTACATTTCTTGATCTACACATTTCTTGATCTAAACATTTCTTGATTTACACATTTCTTCAGCTACACATTTCTTGATTTGTACATTTCTTGATCTACACATTTCTTGAACTAGTAGTAGAGTAGAAGGAAGCTTTTTTCAGATATGTCCGGTACAAAACCCAGGAAATAAAAATAATCGAGATTGTTTCACAGAAAGATTTCCTCTCGTGTTGAGGTGTCCAATTTAAGTGGTCAATATAATAAAAGGAAGCAATGTAAACATCCTCATTATGATGTCATTAATGACTGAAACCTAAACATCAAGCATCTAATATTGCTGATGGCATAATACATAGCAACTAGATGAAGATAATAGTATAATCTGAAGAGAAGAAGAATATGGCCGGAAAAAAACCTCTGTAGAGTGTGAGTATAGAAGGTTGATAGAGTCTATGTAATGTCTATTGTCCAGTTGGCTCGCAGCTGCAATTTGAAACGCCGGGTCGCAGTTGACCAAAAATAAATACTAAATCATTTTCAAATCCAATTTTTTTGGCACGGACTAGTTTTATTATAACCAATATTAGATAAATATAAATTCACAAGCTTTTATTTTGTCAATATTAAGAGTTCTTGAATTAAAAATGTAAGCGGGAACCTTTAATAATGTACATCCTTTAAGTCTTCGAAGAAAAATTCTTTGTGGGTAACTCTGCATGAAATAAAGAGTAAGCTTTGTATAACGAGGATTGAGGATCAACCTGGATTTAGCGGAGAATGGTGAAATGTATTTTGAATCAGTTGTACAGGAAAAATAATGGAAATAGTGGGTTTGGTTTGGAAATCAAATGCCTTTCACAAGTCTAAACTCAATTTCTCAACCAGAATATATTATATACTTGGTTTTCAGGGTGCTTTTGCTTTTGGACAAACAAAAGTTTTGTTAAGAGAATATATTTCTGTACTGTTTAAATTATATTTCATTTAATTAGTTTCGAGTACTCACCTCATTTATAAGAAACACAATGTTATTGTACGTTTTCGTCAAAAAAAATCGATTTCACGTTTTATGATGATTTTGAAATTGCTATCCGATCCGTTCATTAAAATTTCGTTTCGTAAAATCTTCACCAATCAAAAACGCATTGGTACTGTTCTATAGAAATTTTGTTATGACTCTATCCCTCAAGAACATATATATGAGCATTGATATAGACTCTGTTGTGTTTCTATAAATACCAAAAATATGTATAAATACGAATTACTCCTGATCATAATGCAAAATTCTTATTCAAAAAGAAATAAACCTGTGGTATGCAATAAAAAAATAATCAAATGTAATTTTTTGCGAAGGTTTTAGGTAAAAAATTGCTTTGTGTGAAGCTAAAAAAGAAAATCAGGATTCTTTGAAGGGTGATATTATAGTTTCATAATTGTATTATCATACTTATCGTTAAAAATTTGAGAAAAATGCACTTCATTAAAAACATAGAAGTGGTGACAGTAGTCTCGTAACTGTATTTACATTTTCCTAATTGTTGTGAATGTGCGAGAAAAAAAACGTATTTAATGAAATCAATAAGAAAATCCGCACTTTATGTATATATGTATCTTTCATTAAATGTGCACTTTTGATAGGTAAACTGAAATGCGCCACATTATTAACATTATTTGTCAATAACTACATTTTTCTAATAAGATTCTCGAGAACTGGATGCCAGACTCACAGAGTAGGAATATGAGTAGAAAGGCACTAACTTCTTAAAGGGTCTAATGACACAATTTCAAGGGACCCTTAATTTAAAGAGGAACGTGATTTTCAATTTTCCATTGTGGTTTCTCTATCAAAGTAATTTCTGACATTGTTGCTCAGATACAGATTAAACGAATACTATTGTGAATCGGTCATGTCCCTCTTAAAAAAGGTGGTTCATAGGAATACGTCGACAGTCCTTTTTAAAAAGAAAGAAATCTGAACATTACTATTGTTGTGAACTCCCTCTTACAGCAGAGAAGGCCTGAAAAGTATTATTTTCTTCATAAACTATATCTCAAATATTATTCACTTTAACATCTATTTAATATCTGTACTGTGTTGAATATCCAATATTGTCTTTCTAAAAATCGTTGTACTCTGCGGCAGATCTCAAATATCCATTATTACCTCTCTAGATAATATCTGTACTCTGTGGCAGATCTCAAATATTCATTATTACCTCTCTAGATAATATCTGTACTCTGTGGCAGATCTCAAATATCCATTATTACCTCTCTAGATAATATCTGTACTCTGTGGCAGATCTCAAATATCCATTATTACCTCTCTAGATAATATCTGTACTCTGTGGCAGGACCCGAATTAAGTCAAATATCTATTATTGCCTCTCTAGAAAAAATTCTGTGGTAGATCTAGAATATCCTTTATATACTTTCTATATGATATCTGTACTCTGTGGCAGATCTCGAATATCCATTTTTGCCACTTTTGATAATATCTTTACTCTGTGTGGAATGATTCGATTAGTATCCACTATTTCTCCTCTATTTGATATCTGTACTCTGTGGTAGGCTTACATATCCATTGTTTCCTTTCTATGTAATATCTTTACTCTGTTGTAGGACTTAAATGTTCATCATTTGATATCTGTACTCTGTGGTAGGCTTACATATCCATTGTTTCCTTTCTATGTAATATCTTTACTCTGTTGTAGGACTTAAATGTTCATCATTTCCTCTCTGTATAAACACTGAATTCTGTGGCAAGACTCGAATAACCATTATGTTTAAGATTGATCTTCACGTCCTAGAATACATGCATAGCATATACATACACAATACATCTATATATACGTTTAAAGATAAATTACCCTCTCTCTCTGTTGTCGCTTATTCCAAGATTGAGCATCAAGGGGAAAATAATAAGGAAATGTCCAAAAGGAAGTGTTCTCAAAAAGTAGCTTTCCTCAAAAAATGTTAAAAAAAAACTGTTGAAAGAATATGTTTTATTCATCATATAAATTAGGGCTTCTTCAAATACTTTTAAAATGTCTGAATTGATTTCACTTAACAGAGAACTAGAAGGAACTAGGAAAAAGTAGATGGAACTACAAGGAACTAGAAGTAACTAGAAGGAACAAGAAGAGACTAGAAGTAACAAGAATGAACTAGAAGTAACTAGAAGGAACTAGAAGGACTTGTAGCAAATACCTCACCATAACAATTTTACTTGAGACGTGTCTATCCAGGTCTACTCGTTACCAAGATCAACCAGGACTAATTCACCGATTCTAAAAGCCACACAGGCAATATCTCAACCAGGCTTCAGTCTCTGGTTTTAAAAGACACACAGTCCTAATCTCAACTTTTATAATTTAACGAGGACCCAAGCTATCTTTCAAACTATATTCAATTCAATGCTAAATCAGCTAGCAAAGATCTCCGCTTTTATGTTTCATCAAGAACCAAAGCTTTGTTCCAAGCTTACTATGCTTCTGATAACGTAATAAAAAGCTGAGTCTCAATCAACTAACTTTATTCAATGGCTTAGGTTACAAAGTTAACAGGAATTTACGTAATTAAATTCCTACGATGTTATTGATATCACATGATTAAGACCATCGTATTATGTATTTATCACACAGTTAAAGTTTAAGGTACATATTTAAAGGTTTAAAGAGAATAGATTAATCCAAGGAGATATTGAATAGAAGGAGGGGGC